TTATTTACTGTAAGTAAAGGTCAGGAATTGTTATCTTTCTTTTACATTTTTTTTTTTTTACTGTTCACTTCATTACTGCTGTGTATATGTTCCATGTGAGTGACTTAGTGCCTATGTAGATGGTTTCTGACTTACGGCGAAAATCATGTTATGTCATGCCATAGGAACCGATCTCTGACCTGAGGACCTACTGTGTATGGGGCTGCAGATATGGTAGCCATCTTTAGAAAATGTAATCTGCCATAGACTCTGATTTGGGTGAATATTAATGTTATTGTGTAGAAAATTGGGGCTTTTCTATCACAGGTTAGCTTGTCCTGTAAGTTAGTATAGATTCATATTAAAGGATTTTTATAGGTGAAAGTCCTGGCACTATCCTAAATGTATCAATCTTAACATATTTTATGTAGCATGAAATTAAACTTTTATAATACAAATTCTATGTTCATTGCAGAATATCTAAGTGTACAAAACAAAGTAGTTCTGCTTAAAATTCTATTATTCAGGTATCATTCCTAACATTTAAAGAAACTTCATATTTGCTTTATATGTATCTAAAGGCCCAGTGCACAAATTTATGCATGGGTGGGGTCCCTTAGGGCGGATCCAGCTTGTGCCCCCAGCCTTGCAGCCCCACAGCCCTGTCTGTACCCTGCCTTAGCCTGGCGCCACCCCCTCACCTGCTCCACCATCCCGCCTGTGGCGCAGTTGATTGGGGCCAGGTCCCCCACCCAACTTCCTCAGAGCCCTGGAGCCAGGTGGCAATCCTGCTCCCTCCTGCTGGTTCTGGTTGCTGTCTTCCGGGTGATCAGTGGGGCGATTGGGTCCTCACTTATACCTACTTTGGCCTGGCGCCGCCCAATCACTTGCTCCACCATCCAACAGCAGTACCACTTTCGTTGAGGCCCATCAGGGCCAGCAGGACCTCCACTGTCAGCGCTGTATCTCCAATGCCTGCTGTTCTGAGCCATCCCCTGGTGGTCTGTGCATGTCATAGCGAGCAGTTGAACTCCCGGTTGAACAATTTGCATATTAGGCTTTTATTATATAGGATAAATATATATTTTTTAGGAGTTTGATTTGACATCTATTTTGATTTTTATATATATTTCAAGTTCTTAAGATATTTATATAAATATACTACATGTCTGATGCATGAAATTTGTGCAAGGGACATAGCCCTTGTAGTCCCAGTTTTGTCTGGTAGGTTGTCTATAAGGTCATTCAGCTATCCAGTCTAATTAGCATATTACACTTATTATTATAGAAAAGGCTAAGTGACTGACTGACCCACCCACTACCAACCAGCCAGTATATATGAGGTGCACTGACAATTTAAAAATAAACATTGACTTGCACATGCATGATGCATATACAGCTCTTGCTGGCACCAATGACATGCGTATGTTTTTGATCTGTCGATCTGTCATTGTCGATTCTGAATTTGGTTGTTTTTGTTGACAATCAATTTGAACCACATCCCGATTTATTCATCAACCCACTGCGCGACCGGCCAACTAGTACATATGATGTTCACTGTCAATTTAAAAATAAATGTTGACTTGGGCCTGTGCAATACATAGAAAGCTCTTTTTTTTTTTTTTTTTTTACATTTTTTTAAATTAAATTATTATTTGTGTACATATTTTAACATTGCCCCCTATAGAAAGCTCTTGCTGGCACTAATTGCATGTGTTTTAATTTTATAATACTATATTATATATACTATTCTGACATGAATTTTTTTGCAGTAATTTAATTACCACATGAATCTTTTATTTATTTATTTTTTAAAATATATTTTATTGATTTTGTACAGAGGGGAATGGAGAGAGATAGTTAGAAACATCGATGAGAGAGAGTCATCGATCAGCTGCCTCTTGCGCACCCCTTACTGGGGATATGCCCGCAACCAAGGTACATGCCCTTGACCGGAATCGAACCCGGGACCTTTCAGTCCCCAAGCTGACCCTCTATCCATTGAGCCAAACCGGTCTCGGCATAATTACCACATGAATCTTTTAATTAATTTTTTTAAATGTGCAAGAATCTGCTCTAGGCCACTAGTTCAATTGCAAATTTAAACTTAGGTATATAAAACTACTTTATGAGGGATATAGAGTACACTCCGTGTGTATTAATTTCTAGATTTAGCAACAATTCCCATGAAAAATGCATCCTATCTAATAAAAGAGTACCATGCAAATTAATCACTCAGCTACTCCACAAGCCACGCCCACCAACCAATCAGAGCGAGTATGCAAATTAATCCCAAACAAGATGGTTGCAGCCACAGAGAGCAGTTATGAGGCTTAGATTTCCCCAGAAATAGAGGAAACCACGCTTTCCACACACCCTGACCAGCCTAGGCCTCCACTCAAGGATACAGTTTCAATTGTAGAAGGTAAACAAATCCAAACAGAAATGGCGGCAGTCACAGAGCAAGCAGAAGGCTTGGCTCTGCTCCAGGCTACAAAATTTTAATTGTAGAAGGTAAATACCAGATACCAGGGCCTCTGCTTGGGTTGCCGAGGGGCATGGCCGACCTGCAAACCACCGCAGGCCCCTAGCCCAGGCCATCCCACACAAGGGATCCCCTACCCTGAACCGGGACACCCTCCGGGCAAACCAGGTGGCCCCAACCCGTGAACCAGGCTTCTATCCTAAAGAATAAAAGAGTAATATGCAGATTGACCATCACTCCAACACACAGTATGGCTATCCCCTTGTGGTTAAAGATCCTGCCCCCATGTGGACACAAGATGGCCATCACAAGATGGCACTAGGCCTGCAAGGGAGGGCAGTTGAGAGGGACCAGGCCTGCAAGGGAGGGCAGTTGCAAGTGATCAACACTGCAGGGGAGGGCAGTTAGGGGTGACCAGGTCGGCAGAGGAGGGAATTTGGGGACAAACAAGTTGGCAGGGGAGCAGTTAGACTTCAATCAGGCTAGCATGGGAGAGGTTAAGGGGTGATCAGGCTGGCAGGCAGAAGCTGTTAGGGTCAATCAGATCTGGTGGGATTGGGTCTAAACAGGCAGTCGAACATGCCTTGAGGAGTCCCAGATTGGAGAGGGTGCAGGCTGGGCTGAGGGACCACCCCTTCACCCCACCCCACCATACATAAATTTTGTGCACTGGGCCTTTGGTAATACCATAAAAAGGAAAGATAATAAATGCCAGGTAACAGTAGTTTTCCTTCTCCCTAGTATTTTAGCTGTGTACTTGTACTAAATTTCAGGGACTCGTCTATGGACATATGTTGTATTATCCATATACTTTTAAATAGAAGAATTCTGATTACGATACTGTTATATCCTAAGTTGAAATTAAAAGCAAATCTTGTTTAGTTTTTTATTTCTGTAGCTTACCCTTTTAAAAGAGAAATACAATTCAGGTCAGAGGAGAGAGAATAAGTAGAAATATAGATGGAGGAGAATTTTAAAAATATTTAAATTATATTATTTTGAATTGTTTTTAAAGTATTTTGAGGTAGCTGAGCATATCTTTTGCACCTGGGGTTAGGCCTGTCAGATCAGTGTAAAAAAAACCTTGATTTTTCACCTAATAAACTTGATATTATACCTATTTATCTGGAGGCTTATTGATTATGTGAAATAAAATAGTTCACAGAAGAATAAAATTGGAAACGTTCATCATCCTTGAATGTTTTGATGATCATCTTGGTTTTATTTACCTCCAGTAAAACTAACAAATTGTGGTAGGCTTTTTAATTTGCGGTAGAATGCTTATGAAAGTTGATTAATGTTTCTGGTACAAAGAATATGCATCATTCGACATAAAACCCTGTATTAGCATTGTTTTTTTTTTTTTAATGTATTTTATTGATTTTTTACAGAGAGAAAGGGAGAGAGATAGAGAGCTAGAAACGTCGATGAGAAAGAAACATTGACCAGTTGCCTCTTGCACACCCCCTACCGGGGATGTGCCTGCAACCAAGGTACATGTCCTTGACCGGAATCGAACCCGGGACCTTTCAGTCCCCAGACCGATGCTCTACCACTGAGCCAAACCGGTTTCGGCTTAGCATTGTTTTTAAACTTGTTTTTGTGCCTCTAAATTTTATCAGAACCCTTTTTTGTATTTTGTTTATTATTGCTAAGAGTAAGAAACTACATATGTTCATCATTTATTGTGATTATATAAAAATTTACCCCTCTTAATTTAGATTTCTTCTTATTTTTCTCTTTTTACTCATAAAACAATAACTGAATTCTTGACTAGGCTGCGTTACTTGAATATCTTGCCCTTGGGATTTTTTCTAATGGTAGTAGCCTGGGAAACCTTCAGAGTTTTCATCTTAGCAAAAAAAAAAAAAAAAAAAAAAAAAAGACCAGAGGATTTTCTGCTCCCACTCTCGCACGTTTAATTCTGTTTTTTGAGAAAATGACTAAGGAAAGTTGCTAACTAGTGTACTGCCCATAGGTGATACAACTTGAAGCAGCTCATGTTTTTAAGGAAAATGGATGAGGCACATCAACAATAATACGTACATGGGTTTATTATGGAAAACACACAGCTTTTATATTATTTACTCATGTGAATTCTTTTTATATCACTTATGTAAATTTTTTGGCAGGGGGAGGAAGGGACAAAAATTTTTAACACTTCAAAAAATACCTGACAGGCTCACTTGGGTATAAGTGGATCCTAACCAAATTGTGGCCTTCACCCATGTAGGTTGGAGGAACTATGTGCCTGGGTCATCTGATCTATATGTATATTTTTTAGAAACCTAAAAAATAAATAATGTGTGTCATTGCCTTATGGTATAATATTTGATATCATTTAGCAGTGGCTAGAGTATATTTATTTATTTTTAATTCACTAACTTATTTTATGTACTAATTCAAACAAATATATCCAAAAAGTATATTTAGGGCAAGATTTGAGACAGATTTAGGATTATGTGGGTTTTGTTATTTTAAGCTAGTATATACTTCCAATATGGAATATAATTTTTATTTATTTTTTTAAATACAGGGCAAGCTTGATGATTACCAGGAGCGAATGAACAAAGGGGAACGGCTTAATCAAGATCAGCTGGTAAAGATGCTACATTTTTTTTTTTTAAGATGCTACATTTTATTTAAGATTATACGTCTAATATTTTTAACAAGAAAATTAATTTTGTGTTTATTTTGTTTCCAGTAAAGTTGTGCTTTTGTCTTTGTTATTTTAGGATGCCGTATCTAAGTACCAGGAAGTCACAAATAACTTGGAGTTTGCAAAAGAATTACAGAGGAGTTTCATGGCATTAAGTCAAGATGTAAGTAAAAGGTGGTATATGTGTATGAAATACTAAAAATACGGAAGGCAGGAAATTTTGTTGTTTCTGTTTTTAGTCCTTGTCATTACCATTGTAAGCTCTGCAAGGTGAAAAGGTTGGATCCAATTATATCTAAGATGTTTTACAGTTCTGTAAAGTTTAACTGAAAGGTAGATGCCTTTTAAAAGGACTGACTTTCAGATATGACAAACGTGTAATAGTTACCCTAAGGTTTTCCTTGGTTTAAAAAATATATAAGCATAGTAGGATTTTTTAAAATACATTTTACTGATTTTTCAGAGAGGAAGGGATAGAGATAGAGAGCTAGAAACATCGATGAGAGAGAGACATCGACCAGCTGCCTCCTGCACATCCCCCAATGGGATATGCCTGCAACCAATGTACATACCCTTGACCGGAATGGAACCTGGGACCCCTCAGTCCGCAGGCCGACATTCTATCCACTGAGCCAAACCGGTTTCAGCCATAGTAGGATTTTTTTTAATGTATTCCTTCATGTTTAATGACCATTTTCAAGTCCGTTAGTATCAGAAAATGGGCTTGTAACTATTCTTTCTGTTAGGGATCTTAAGAAATGTGGCAGACTGATACATTGCTCTTGATCCAACAAAATGGAATGTTTTTCCCCAAACATCTTTTGATATAATAAAAGCCTTTAGGAACAGGACAAAAATGAAATACAAAGTCAAATAATGTGTTCAGAGTTGAGACCAGAAAATTAATATCTTTTTGAGTTAGTGTTTACTTATTTGTACAAAGCTAACAGTGTTAAAATATAAAGTTGCCCCTAATTCGATGAAATGAATAAACAATTTATTAATGTGACTAAAGGCCCAGTGCATGAAATTTGGTCACTTGGGTGGAGCCAGGAGGGCAGGGTGTCCCTCAGCCCGCCTGCACCCTCTCACAGTCAGGGAGCCCCTGGGTGATGTCCAATTGCCGGCACTGCTTGAAAGCTGTGAGCCTGGCTGTGGAATGCTCCCCTGTGGGAGCGCATTGACCACCAGGGGCAGCTCCTGTGTTAAGCATCTGCCCCTGGTAGTCAGTGCATGTCATAGCGTCCAGTTCTGCCATTCGGTCGATTTGCATATTATCCTTTTATTATATAGGATAGGATGAGAGGCAGTTCAGTACAAAGATTGTAAGTTTTGATTCTGGAACCAGACTCTGGTTTGAATACCGATCCTGCCATTTTTATTAGAATTGTAAGAGATGAAAGAAAATTAATAAAATGTATATGAAAATCTTCCTCCTGTCAGAGTCTGGGGCACACCATGGGACCGAGTCCAATCCCCACCCACCTGTGCCTGAAAATTGCTCCAGACCCAGACCTAGGTCACCCCCCCCCCCCTTTGGGCTAGATCCAGACTCGGGTGATCCCACCCTTGTCAAGCCCCGCTGGTCAGGGGGCACCGCCTGAGGTACCCTGGCCTGGGGTAAGGGGAGCAGCATGGGGGGGCACACCTTGAGATCCCCCTGTCAAGCCAGCCAGGCGGGGGCACAGCCTGAGGTCCCTCATCAAGCCCTTCTGGGCAGGGGGTGTGGTCTGAGGTCCCCCAGCCTAGCGCCAAAGATGGGAGGCATGGCCTGAGGTCCCCAGTTAAGCCCCATGGGGGTGGGGGGGTGCACAGCCTCAGGTTCCTGCTGATTGCTTGTTAAGGCTCATTAGGGGAACTCTGCCTCCACTGTGGGTGCAGCCATCGTGTGTTATGGAAACCCCTCCTCTGCTGTGGGTGCCCCCATCTTTGTGACGGAGTGATAGTCAATTTGCACATTCCAGCTTTATTATATAGGATAGGATTATTAGTATATAGGATTATATGACTTGGAATAGATTACTTAATTTTTCCATTACTTTTGATTAGTCTGGATTTTCCAGAGAAACAGAACTAGTAGGATAAAAAGAGAAGGATGGGGACAAGGGAGAGGAGAGGGGAAAGGCTATCGCTCTGCTTCTGTTTTCTAATCTATAAAATGGCGATAATAATACTACCTACTCATCAGAAGGTTGTGCTTAGAATAGTATTTGATGGATGATTACTAAATTTCATGCAAAACTATATTTCATGTACTTAATGTTACTTATTAAGTTTGATTAAAGTTTGATGATATCTTTCAGAACTAAAGGAAATTTAATTTACATTCAAGTAGGGATTTGTTCCTCTTAGCTTAGGTCAGAGCTTCAATCTTGACGAACCATGAACCCTGCCCAATTTCTTTTTCTGTTATACAATTTAATATATTTGTTTCTGAAGCTACTGTCACTGTGTAAATGAAAATACTTGTGCCCTCCTTTGCTTTAAATAGGGTGTTTTTAGCAACTTTTCATTAGGCCTTTAACTTCACTGGCCATCCTTAGGTTGTATTTGCCACAATTATTGAACACTTTTCTTGTTTGGCATTTAAGAGCTTTTTTAAACATAGTCTAGTCTACTTGTTCTAATTTTCATATCCTTCCCTACTTGAACTTCTCATTTCATCTAATGTGACTTTCTTATGTAACTTATTTATTTTTTTTTTTTTTGCTTCTTTTACTTCACTTTATATTCTTCCCTTCCTGTACTGTTTCCTGCCTCTGGCTATCTATAAATACCTATTTTTTTCCATAAAATATTCCCTAGTACTATTGAAAGCTCATTCATCTTCAGATTAGATGATACTTTTTCTCCTTGAAAGCTATCTTGTTCATCCTAGCTTAAGAGATCTCATCTTAGCGTTCATATGTACTGTTTTTTGCCAGTAATGCTAAGATACCATTTAATCTACTACCTCTCTGCTGCCGTTATAAATTTGACTTACTGCAACCTTCATTATTCCTTCCAGGTCTTTTATTATATGTTTCCTATGTCCTTATTTTGGTTTTCTCTGTTTCTCTGTTATCTGAGTGAATCTCAAGAAAAGGGCGAGTGTGGGAAGGAAAACAATGTTGTGGCTCTTGGAAAGACGCTTATTCTTTGATCCCACACTGATGCTGTACATGAGAAAAGAGAAATACTAGTATTTGAATTTGATTGATGCTCTCCTTTCATCCTTACCAGGAAAGAAAAAGAGTGTAGTGGAGAGAAAACAGTGGAAAAAATACATTCATATTTAGCTTTTATCGGTCTTTTTCTGCGATTTTCTTTCTCTTTGCTAGTTTCTGATTACTCATAAAAACAAGTCGGTTTTAGTTACTGTTTTCAAGTGTTGGAATGCCTTTACTAACGGGATTGTTTGGGTTGTAACAGTGGTGAGTTTTGATGTTTATTTACAAATTAGTAATAGGTACTAAGAACTTTGGATCATTTTTCCATAGAGAAGATATATATAGGTAAGATGTTTTGTTGTGGTTGTTAGGGTTCTCTTTTAATCGATTCAGGGCCTTAATTAAAAACTTTGCTAATTCTTTTTATTATGGGAAATTTCAAAACTAAAGAATATAATGAAACCCCATGTACCCATATCTATCTTCCACACATCATTTCATGGGCAATCATATATATATATATATATTTAAAAAAATATATATATTTTATTGATTTCTTACAGAGAGGAAGGGAGAGGGACAGAGAGTTAGAAACATCGATGAGAGAGAATCATCGATCAGCTGCCTCTTGCACACCCCCTACTGGGGATGTGCCCGAAACCCAGGCTCATGCCCCCGACCAGAATTGAACCTGGGACCTTTCAGTCCGCAGGCTGACGCTCTATCCACTGAGCCGAACTGGTTTCGGCTTCATGGGCAATCATATTTGACATAGTTTACTCACACCTACTTCCCTACTCCCTGTTTGCTGCGTTATTATGAAGCAAATTCCAAATATGTAATTTTATTGGTAATGTTTCAGCAGTATAATACCTTCAGTAATATAAAAGATGTGTTCTGAATTTCTAACAACTGCTTAAAGTAGATCATGTATTAAACTCTCTTTGTAAGATGGGGTCATATTTAACTCTGAGTGAAATGTGTCTTCTTATAATACATTGGACCTGAAATTGATTGAACTAAAAGGGTCTTTAAAACTTAGTTTGATGTCTTCTGTTTATATTCCTATGCAGATTCAGAAAACAATAAAGAAAACAGCTCGACGGGAGCAGCTTATGAGAGAAGAAGCTGAACAAAAACGTTTAAAAACTGTACTTGAGCTGCAGTATGTTTTGGACAAATTGGGAGATGAAGAAGTGAGAACTGACCTGAAACAGGGTTTGAATGGCGTGCCAATCCTGTCTGAAGAGGAATTGTCATTGTTGGATGAATTCTACAAGTTAGCAGACCCTGAACGGGACATGAGCTTGAGGTATAGCAGCATTTGATAGAAGCTTCTAAATGATACTTTAAATTGACAATTGAAAGGTAATTAATTAGCTATTTATTATTATAAGGTTGAATGAGCAATATGAACATGCCTCCATTCATCTGTGGGACTTACTGGAAGGCAAAGAAAAATCTGTGTGTGGAACAACCTGTGAGTATCACTGACACTTATCTTCTATAATAAAAGTGTAATATGCTTATTAGACCAGACAGATGAAGACCTTCCAGCGAAGCCAGGGCTGTGAGGGTTGAGCCTTTGCACGAATTTCGTGCATCGGGCTTCTAGGGATTTTCTAACTAAGAATCTTTTAAAATTAGTTTCCTATTTCAGAGTAGTGTTAATTGAAGAAGTTTTAGAAATATATAAATAACTAGAGAGGCTCAGTGCATGAATTTGTGCACCAGTGAGGTCTGTTGGCCTGGCCTGCAAGATCGGGCCAAAACCTGCCCTCTGACATCCCCTGAGAGGTCATGGATTGCAAGAGGGCACAGGCCAGGCCAAAGGGCCCTGCTGGTGCACCATCAGAGCTGGGGAGGGACGCGGGCGGTTGGCCAGCTGGGGAGGGACTATGGGAGGACTCCAGGCATGTCTGGCCCATCTTGCTCAGTCCTAATTGGCTGGACCCCAGCAGCTAGCTAACCTACCTGTTGGAGTGTCTACCCCCTGGTGGTCTGCATGTCATAGCGACTGGTCAACTGTCTGCCCCCTGGTGTTCAGTGCATGTGATAGCGAGCAGTTGAGTGGCCTTAGCATATTATTTGCATATTATTATACACTTTGGTTGATTGAATGGCCGACCAGACACTTATCATATTAGGCTTTTATTATATAGGATATCCACTGCTTACTTTCTTCATTTTGTGTATTTGTGTGTGTGTGTGCGCACACATGCCTGTAAGTCAAAACACCAACAACCAACCCGAAATCTATGAAGATGGGAGCCCTAACTTAATATGGTTTTGTTTATAACTTACTCTGCTTGAAGTGAACAGATTAACACCAAATTGACTTTCCAGTTTTTGGTTATTAGTGGTTTTTCCTTGTAGCTGAAATTTTGTGAAAAACATTTACTGCTCCTCATATGGTCATTGTCTTTGTCTGTAATTTTTCTTAGACTTTTGGTAATTTGGGGATGTTTATTTTTTTGTTTTGTTTTAAAAAAGGTATTGATATCTATTCCAGTTTTCTATATGTGAGCTCCTTAACCTGAAAAATGCAATTATGATTTTTTTAAAGGACATTTAAGTTTCACTAAGTTTATTAGAAATTTAGGTTTTTAACTACTTAGTAAATCAGGATATAGCTCCTTATGTTGACTGTTTTTGAAGTTGATTTAGCCAAATAGATATTTGTACATATGAAGGTAAAACTATCCATGTTTATATCTTGTTTTTAGCTATTGGATTAAAAAGAAATTAAATCGGATTGTAAGTTTTAATTGGCAAAACAGTATGACACAATTTGATGTGTATAGAAAATGTGTAAAATCATATAGGAGGAATCAAGGATTCTTTTTATCTTTTCATGTAAAAAAATTTTTTTTGGTTTGTTAACTTGTGTTATCTGTATTTCTTTTATAACACAGTCGAACCCAGGACCCTTCAGTCAGTGGGTTGATGCTCTATCCACTGAGCCAAACCATCTAGGGCTGTTTTTTTGAGGATATGCTTTTTGATTGATTTTTTTTTTTTAGAGAGAGTAAAGGGAGAGGGGGGGAAAAATCAATGTGAGCCAGGGTTGAACCTGCAGCCTATATATGTGCCCTGACCAGGAATCGAACCTACAATCTTTTGGTGTACAGGATGACACTCCCAACCAACCGAACTGCCCAGCCAGGGCATTAGTGTTTTTATATGCATTTAGTTCTTATGCATTTAAAAAAAAAAATATATATATATATTTTTATTGATTTTGTACAGAGAAGGGAGAGAGATAGAGTGTTAGAAACATCGATGAGAGTCATCAATCAGCTGCCTCTTGCACACCCCCTACTGGGGATATACCCGCAACCAAGGTACATGCCCTTGACCGGTATCGAACCCGGGACCCTTCATTCCCCAAGCCGACGCTCTATCCATTGAGCCAAACCGGTCTTGGCTTCTTATGCATTTTTAAAAAAATAAATAGTTCTGAGTCATGAATGAATCTTGAAATGTAGAAAATGGAAAACATGAAGTATTTTATTGTTAATAGGATTAATTTTATTATAAATTTGGGATAATATGGTCCCTGAAGCTTTATTTCTGTAGAGTGTGACCTATGAAGGAATAGCCTTACTCTACATTTGCTATATAAGGCCAGGAAATTGAGATTTTAATTCTTGACACACATCTTTGTCTGCTGTCCAGTCCTTATATCCTAGTGTACCAAATTCTGACAATTTAGCCTTTAAATATCTTGATTCTGTCTTCTTTCTCTTCTACTTTTCTGCCTTCCTCTTATCTAATGCAGTGTTCTAACTGAATCCACTCCATGTCCCTCATTAAACGCTTTTATACTGGCTTTATTTTAATCACATTTTATATACATCTACCCTGTTTCCCCAAAAATAAGACAGTGTCTTATATTAATTTTTGCTCCCAAAGATGTGCTAGGTCTTATTTTCAGGGGATGTTTTATTTTTCCATGAAGAAGAATACGGTACACATTTATTGTTAAATGAAAATAAAGGGAATTTATTACCTGTATACGGTACGGTAGTACGGTAGTTGTCAACACAAACCAGACAAACTGAATCCTACAGTATCAAGAATTTACTCATTTATTCAATGACAATCACGTCATCATCTTCTGGAACATCATCATAACAATCCAATTCCTGAATTTCCTGGTGAATTTCTTGTGACTATTTCTTTCAGAATCAGTGGACAAATCTCTCATGTTTAGCCTAGGGGGGGGCCTTATTTTCGGGGGGATGCCTTATATTTCTCTCAGAAGGAAACCTGTAAGTAGGTCTTATTTTCGGAGGATGTCTTATTTTTGGGTATTTCAAGACCTTGCACTATAGGGCCTTTACCAGTCTCTCCAGACTCAAATATTATGCTTTTTCTTACTTCCTGTGCTTCAGCCACAGTGCATACTTGCATTTTTTTTTTTTTTTTTAATTTGGCACGCTTTTTTGTATAGGGCTTTGTAAATGCTGTTGCTTCTGCCTTAAAACACTTCTCTACTACTCATCTTCCAGACTCAACTCTTGAAGCATCTATACCAGCAAAGCCTCTCGTGGTCTCTGAGTAGGTCCATTCTATTGGACTTCTGTGTAGTACTTTTCACAGATGTAATTTGATTGTTTTTGTGAGTATTTGATAACTCTTCCCTATTGGTCTGTAAAATTAGGGAGGACAGATATGGTATCTTTTTTTTTTTTGAAAGACTTTTTTTTTTATATTTTATTGATATTTCACAGAGAGGAAGGGAGAGGGATAGAGAGTTAGACACATCGATGAGAGAGAATCATCGATCAGCTGCCTCTTGCACACTCCCTACTGGGGATGTGCCCGCAACCAAGGAACATGCCCTTGACTGGCATCGAACCCGGGACCTTTGAGTCTGCAGGCCTAAGATCTATCCACTGAGCCAAACCGGTTTTGGCATAGATATGGTATCTTTTACATATCTTTTTCTGGCCCCAGTGCCTAGTCAGTGCCTAGCATGTTGACTAAAATTAATTAGATGCTATATTGAATGAATAAATGACAATTATCAGCTCTTTAAAAAACTAACACAATACAAATAGTTTTTGTTCCCTGTCCTATAATAAATTTCTGTTCTTGATGGAATTTAATGTTTTTATATGTTTTAATAACACGATGAGGTTTTTTTTTTCTTAGTATGTTTTGTAGGATGTTAAATCTTCAAGCCAGGCAACCTCACACAATCTAACATTATAATATTCTAATTGTAGATAAAGCTCTAAAGGAAATTGTTGAGCGTGTTTTCCAGTCGAACTACTTTGATAGCACCCACAACCACCAGAACGGGCTGTGTGAGGAGGAGGAGGCAGCCTCGGCACCCGCTGCTGAAGACCAGGTAGCGGAGGCTGGTGAGTTCTGAGGAGGACTGAGATTGAGCTTACAGTCCTGGTCTTACCTTCTTTTGCCACCACATAATCCATGTGCTGCTTCATAACATGAGTTCTAAGAACAGGGAGTTTTAACATAGTAGCTTTTGGTTGGCATTGTATCTGACCCAAAATCGAAACAAACTGAAGTAAGGTATTGAAACTGAAATAATTTATTCTAGAATAAATAGTAAAGAAAATTCTTTCTAAATATATTATTGTAAGAATGATAAAGTATAGAAACTTATTATTAACTATATGTTTATAAATAATTCGGATTATGTGATGGTAAACTGTTAAAGATTCCTTATACTCTTTTGTATCTTCTTAGAACCTGAGCCAGCAGAAGAATACACTGAACCAAGTGAAGTTGAATCCACAGAGGTATGGATTTTTATTTAATGCAGGTTTTCCCTATCTGCCTTTCAAACAGAGGTCTCAAACATTTACTTTGCTTTGCAGTATGTAAATAGACAATTTATGGCCGAAACACAGTTCAGCAGTGGTGAAAAGGAGCAGGTAGATGATTGGGCAGTTGAAACAGTTGAGGTAAGAGTTTTGTTACAAGATTGATTTCTTTTGTCTTTAATTAGTAATTTTTATGTCTCCTAAGAGCAAATTAAGATGGTTAGTTTTAGTACATTTATTGTAATAAACTCTTTACACAGGACTGTTCAGTTTAACAGGTGATTTGTTTATCCTGTGGAAGTTCAATAGAATCACTGATGCTATCCAGTTTCAAAAGTTATAACCATGTATAAGTTATGGTTAATGTATGACAGTATAGGATTTGTTATTAGGCTGCTTTATAAAAACCTGGGTTCCCACAGGGGTGACCTTTAGAAAAATCCTACTCACCGGGCTATATTGGAATGTCATCTTAGACTCCTCTCCTTCACTTTAGGATTGTTTGGTTATCAGTCTCTATGATCTCAGTATTCCTTATTATGAAGGAAGGTTATGATTTGTCCAGGCTTAATAGCTATGACCTGCCCAGGCTTCAAAAGTCAAACAAAAGAATATAAAAACGTTTGTAATCCTCACCTGAGGATATGTTAATTGGTTTTGTTTTTTAAGGGAGGGAGAGAAAGAAAAAGAGAGAAACATTGATGTGAGAGAGAAACGTGAATCTATTGTTTCTCATAAGTTCCCTGACAGGGAATTAAACCTGCAACCCTTTGGTACACAAGCCACCTGCCCAAGGCAGAATTTAAATTTGATGTAATAAAGTTTAGTGATTTTTTTTTTCTTCCCAGCAGAGCAGGGAATTATTAAAAATGATAACCGAGAAAAATTATTAGAGCTAGGAAAAGGACATAGAGGGAGAGAGAGGTTTGTCTTTTGTAGCAGTTTAAATGAATTGATGGACCTTGATCTATAGTGTTGGTGAGAGGATGGAATGGTGGGAACTCAGAGCTTGATGATAGTAATAGCTAACATTTCTTGAGTGTGGATCACACATTGGATACCGAGATAGATATCTATAATAATGAAAGTGTGATATGCTAATTAGACCGGGCGTCATTCCGGAGGAAGCCGGGGCCAGAGAGAAGCCAGGGTCCCGGCAGCCAGAAGGAAGCCAAGTCCTGGCAACCAGGGGAAGGAAGGCCTCCTCTTTCCCAAATTTCGTGTATTGGGCCTTTAGTGTATTTAATATAGATATATAGATTTAGTTAATATAGAAGGTTTAGCAGTTTAAGCAAAATATTTCTTATAGGAAGTAAATAACATAGTCTTTCTTTGAAAGCCATCTGTAAAGTAATTGTGAAATGCTACATGTAACCCTGTGAAATGACAACACTTTAAAATTCTAACATTGATCAGAATGTTAAATTTGACATAAATTGTGATTAGTTTGAATAACTACGTTAAAATCTATTCTGTTTACAGTATAGATAGCATATGTGGTTTGGGGATTTGTCATGATGGTAATGAATTGAGCGTTTTCATTCTACCAATCCACTTCTCTCCCCTTCTTCCACTTTAGGTGGTAAATTCACTCCAGCAGCAACCTCAGGCTGCGTCTCCTTCAGTACCAGAGCCCCACTCTCTGACACCCGTGGCTCAGCCAGATCCCATTGTGAGAAGACAGCGAGTGCAGGACCTTATGGCACAAATGCAGGGGCCTTATAATTTCATACAGGTATGTGCAATTTAATGAAACACTAACAGAATGTCTTAAGTGCTTACACTGTTTGACTTCCATTGTATTCTGCCTTGTAGGATTCAATGCTGGATTTTGAAAACCAGACACTTGATCCTGCCATTGTATCTGCACAGCCTATGAATCCAACACAAAATATGGACATGCCCCAGCTGGTTTGTCCTCCAGGTTAGTAATGACACATTTTTATGTGAGAAACAAATATAGGGCCAATGCTTTCAGGTTTTGTAAAGTTTATAAAATTATTTTTTCCCTTTTAATACTTGCTTAACTTTTAGAACTACCTTTTAATTTGATAAACATTTTTTTTCCTATAATGTGATAACTGTAGTTCTACAATTTTTATATTTTAAAAATATCTCTTCCTCTCTCTCCCGCCCCCATATATGTGTGTGTGTGTGTGTATGTATTATATATACACATACACATACATACACACACACACACACACACACACACACATATATATATATATAAAATTTATTTCAGAGATGTAGGGAGTGGGCAGGGGGAGAGAGACATTATTGATGAGAATCACTGATCAGCTGCCTCCTGCACATCCCCTAATGGGGATCAAGCGTACAACTCTGGCACATGCCCTGACCAAGAATCGAATGGTGACCTAGTTCATAGGTTGATGCTCAACCACTGAGCCACTCAGGCTGTGTGTGGTTTTTTTTTTTTTTTTTTTTTTTTACTTTTTATTGATGATATATAAAAATAGAAATGTACGTGCAAGTGTACATTTTGACGAGTTTTCACAATCTGAATATACCAGCACTCAAAAACGGAACATTATCAGTACCCAGAAGCCAATTTTTGTCACCTTTCAATCACTGACTACCCTCTCCCCCAGTCCCATGGTAATTACTTCCTGACTTACAAACTATAGACCGGTTTTTCCTGTTTCTCTTAATTTATGTAAATAAAATTTTGCTTGGGCTTTTTAAATGTCAAGATGAACCTAGAAATAAAAAAATAATAGAGTTGTTTTTTTCTGAAGAATGTTTGCAGTTTTTTGGAGACTTTCTGAACATTTTATTAACCTAAAAATGAGACTTAACAGTCAAGTGGGTAAGAGGATGCTTAAGAGGAAAGGTGAAGATATAAAAAGACAGTAGAAATTTGAGACTCACACTAATCTTACACCATTATTTGAAATAACAGCACCAAGTATACTTGTACCTTCATTGGGTTTAGTGGATCATTAGTGATTTTTAGTCTTGTTTTCTTCCCAGAAAATGTCAACATTAAGGACACAAAGTAACACATTTAATGTGTAATTTTAAATGTTATATAAAAAGCATTGCCGAGTAAAAGCATGTTTAATGACAGTTAATCTGGTAAGGTAGTTGGGAATTTTCCTAAGCAAAGGTAACTCATTGCGGTCACACCTCTCCCAAGAGTTAGAAAAAAGATAAGGTTAGGCGGTTGGCCTGGTAGAAAAGAATTAGAGTTATTGGCATTCATTTTCTGAGCTCCACTGGAGGAAAAAAATAGTTTTCTAAGCTGGTAAGTTGTGCTAAAGCATTCATGTAACCCGGGTAAGGATATGCCGAGTCCATTAGATCAGCGGTCGCCAAACTATTCGGACCTTACTTCTCATGGGAACAGGCAATCTTAAGTGACTAACCAAAGATCCTGTATTTGAATATGCTTCCTTTTTTTTTTTTTTTTTTTTTTTTTTTTTAAGAGAGGAAGCGGGAAGGGAGAAACATTAATTGGCTGCCTCTTGCACACCCCTATCAGAGATTGAGCCCAAAACCCAGGCATGTGACCTGACTGGTAAACAAACTGGGTGACTTCTCAGTGCACTGGATAACACCCAACCAGCCAGGGCAAGATCCGGTATTTTTTATTTTTGATCTTGTTTAGGAGGGGAATGGAAAGATGGTGGAAGTTGGCAATAATATGTACACTGAATTGAATATAGACATTTTAAAAGTATACTTACATTTTTATTTTTTGTGTGGAAACATTTGAGATTATACTGAAACTTTATAATGTTAAAATAATACTGAATATTATTTAAGGTTTTAAGAGTAATGCTATTTTATAGTTACTGCTTTAGAAGACTTTTTTCATGCTAACACTGGCACTGATTCTTACCTGTTCTGCTAACTTTATTTTTTTCAAATATATTTTTATTAATTTCAGGGAGAAAGGGGGACGTAGATAGAAACATCAATGATGAGAGAATCACTGATTGGCTGCCTCCTGCACACCCCCTAATGGGGATGGACCCCTCAACCCGGGCAATGTGCCTTTGATCGAAATTGAACTCAGGACCCTTCAGTCCACAGGCCGACACTATCCACTGAGCAAACCAGTTAGGGCTGCTCTCCACCTCTGTTAATACTTTATCACTAACATCTTTACCTTTGTAAAACAGAATGAAAGCCATTGTGAGAGTTGATTAATAATGATTACCAGTAAACACAATACAAACTTAACAGCTAAAATTAAAAGTATCTTCATGATTGCTAACAGTTTATTTAGAATTTAGCCTTTTGCTACAAAGTAAAAGGTATTTAGACATCTTTGAAAAAATTTAATTTTGTATGACAAAATTTTTTTGGTCAATTTTTCAGTTCATTCTGAATCTAGACTTGCTCAACCCAATCAAGTTCCTGTACAACCAGAAGCTACCCAGGTAAGAGTGAAATAAATATTTTTGCAGGTTTGTTTTTCGCCAATTCTTCAGTTACTTTCTTAGTTAGCTTATAAAAGTCAGGTATGAGTTTGATGGGTGTCCAAATCTGGCATTTGTAGCTTTATTTCTATGTCTACGTTTATTTTTCTTGGTGATGTTTAACATTATTTTCTAATTTTTAAAAATAATAGTTTATTATAATGAAAGAAGCAGCTTTTAGATATAATTCTAAAATTCAGTGCAGATATTACCATTTTAGAAGCATTTGTGTGGGGACCTTATAACTGGACTAGTGTTTAACTTTGAGCTTCAATAATATATGTATGTTTTGTAGTTGTTAGGTTTTATAGTCTATTTAACAGGTACATGTATTTTTTAAAGCTTTGCATGTATTAGAGTTGGCTTATAACAGAAAGAAGCTTTGATTACTTCATTTCCGTGTAGGTTCCTTTGGTTTCATCCACAAGTGAAGGGTATACAGCATCTCAGCCCTTGTACCAGCCTTCTCATGCTACAGAGCAACGATCACAAAAGGAACCAATTGATCAGATTCAGGCAAGTTCTGTTATATAAACTTGATGAGGTGCTTATTCATGAATTGGGCTGAGGGAAATTACTGTTAATATAAAATAACTCTTCATTTTGGACCTAATGCATGTAACTACAGTATTTTTATTTCATGAAATAGTTAAGTTTGTTAATACACATATGGGCAGTAGCCTTGGCTAAGTGTAGTTTATCACTAAAGTGCATCTATTCACTTTGTGTTTAGGCAACAATCTCTTTAAATGCAGACCAGACTTCAGCATCCTCATCCCTTCCTGCTGCCTCTCAGCCACAGGTGTTCCAGGCTGGGACAAGCAAACCTTTACATAGCAGTGGAATCAATGTAAATGCAGCTCCATTCCAATCCATGCAAACGGTAGGCAAATTAACTCAACCAACATTGAGTACCTAGTGTGTACTATTATCATGCTAGAATTTCAACAGAAAGTCTTCATTTAACTTTGTGCTTGGGTCTGCATCTACCCTAACTGTAGGGGTATATTTAATTGAACCTAAACTCTGATTTTCCTGCTTCCAGGGTAGATTTGAGTCTTACGAGTTATGTGATCATATATTCTTATTTATAGTTGCACCCTTTTGATTTGATTAACAAAATTTTAAACATGCAGAAAAGTAGACCAAAATAACAGCCATACATAAACATTGTCACCTAGATTTAACAGTTGTTTCATTTTGCTTAATTGTTTACTGAAGTATATCAAAGTAAATTTCAGGCAGTATGGTACTTAACCCTGGATCTTCAGTAAACATCTCTAAATTACAGTTTATGGAAAACAATCAGAGTTAAATCAGTGCTCATAGGAAAATTCATAGTGTTAAATACTTAAAATATTAACTTGTCATTGAAAATAATATCATAAAGGAAAATAAGTAAATATTCAATTCATTTCAAGTTTATAGAATTAAATTGTGTAACTGATATTGTATCAGGGGTTTATGCTTTTATACAGATTTGTCATTTATAATAGCATTTCCAAGGCTATTGATTATATGTCTTTAGATTTTTAAAACCTACACTCATAGTGCTCTGCTTTAAGTGCTGTATGGCATATATTTTCCCCCCACATTGAAGTGCATTAATTGTAGGGTGTGTATGTGTGTGTGATGTTTGAGACTTTTTTACATTTGAGGTAAAACCAGCATTGGAGTCTTCCATGTTAAAAGTGAGGAAATTATTAACAAACTGGATGAACTAATAATTTATTCACTTACAGGTGTTCAATATGAATGCCCCAGTTCCTCCTGTTAATGAACCAGAAACTTTAAAACAGCAGAATCAGTACCAGGCCAGTTATAACCAGAGCTTTTCCAGTCAGCCTCACCAAGTAGAGCAAACAGAGCTTCAGCAAGAACAGCTTCAAACAGGTAGGATACCCAGGGTCACTTCCTTGGCTATTTGCTTTCCAGTGCAGTTGTTGACAGTGTAGGACAGTTTAGACTTTGGAGTGGCTGCATCCAGGAATTTTTGTTTTAGCATTAGACATTACCAATTTTGCATTTTTGATCCTGAGTTAAATTGAGTATGTATTTGCTATAATGAATAACGTGCAGTCTTATACCCATTTTCCTTTGGTAGGTGAGCTTTCATAGTATCTTTTTATTATATGATTTTAATAGAATTAAACTTATTAAAATTATGGTTAATTCTTCTTTTAATTGCTAATTATTAAAGCCTGCTGGCATGATACTCAGCACTCAGTTATACAAAGTCAGGAAGCAGTAAGGATTTGGTGGTGGTTGCATTTGGTTGAAACAAAAGTCCTTGTTGGAAAGTATGTTTGTAATTTGGCCTGTTGTCATACCTGTCAGTAATAAAGTAGATAAAGGTATTTTAGATTTGTTAAAATTTATAACACATGAAATACCTTTTTTTTAGGTTTTTGGTTATTTAATTCCTAGGAGTTTAATTGGGATCCCACAACAAACTATGGCAAACCCTCCAAAAACCATAGGAGTTGTTAATACTTTGAATTTATTAGACTGATTTAAGTAACTATGAACTTTTCTTATTAGACCTGGATCAACATGGTAGATTTTTCAGTAATAAATTCTTACATAGCCCTACAGTACTCAGCACTTACTAACCAGTAGGGAGGTTAAGTCAGTCATAATCTGATAGAAATTTGTCAGTTATGCTGTGTGTGCTCAGCTTCTGAATAATTGGGCTTCTAGCTCTCAGGCTCCTTTAATTATTTCATTGCCACGTACTAGTATTCTTAAATTGTTTGGAGCAGGTACATTTAGGTCCTTTTGACATTGTGCTGACATGCTTGCTATTTTGCCATTTTTTTTTTCAGATGGTGTGATGAATTTAAAAGTAATTATTACATATTGGTTACTTTTACTCCTTGTACCAGTTGATTTCAAACTGTCTCGCTCTTATATTCTACTTGAGTTCACTAATTGACAGAAGCACTTGAGCTAGATAGTTATCCTTTTATTATTTTAAAAGACATTATTTATAAAGATTAACTGCATACATTTCACAGACATTTTCAATAAAAAAGCAAAAGCAGCCCATATATTTTGCTTATTTAAACTTAAACCGCTAGCCCAGTCTGTTCTCCACACAGTAGCCCCGAGTGATGATTTGAAAATGTAAATCAGATGTCTTGCTCTTGTTCAAAACCTTTCAGTGACTTCCCATTTTATTTGGAAAAGCAATCCAAAGTCTTTGGTTTATAAGGTCCTTTATAATCTGGTCCCCGCCTTGATCCTGTGTATATCCTATTTCCTTCCAATAGCAGCCATAAGCACAGCAGGCTCTCTGCTCTCTCATGGTCTTTATACTCCTTATTGAGTGAAACTTTCTTCCACTAATGTTTGCATGGCTTTATTGGCTCTTTTTAGGGTTTTGCTCAGATAGCACCTTACAGAGATCTCCCTCCATTGCCCTGTCTAAATACATCACACTCACTTTGGTCACTCATTTATTCTGCTATGGTTTAGTCTTCATCACTTATTACCTGATACTATTTAGATGTTTTTACTTGTATGTGTATTTTATTCACTTATCTCCTATTATTAAAATGTCCATCTGGGCAAAGATTATGCGTTAATAACTGATATACCCCTGATGTCTAGGACATGCTTGGCATGTTAATGGCACTCAGATAGTTAGTTGTTGAACAAATCAGTGTGTCCCATCATTCCAGAAGTTTTGTTTAATTTGAATTAAAGGAGAAAAGGGATCTGGTATTTTTAAATAAAGATCACTCTTTGTTTTGCTTTGAGTTTCTTACAGTGAGATTTGACCAACATTAATTCTTAGTGATAAAAAGTGAGTCGAAAATTCGGTTCTTTTACCTACTTTCTACCCGTGTGCAAATGAATCTTTGTAGATAGAAAATGTTACTTGTACTGGTGATATTTGCTTGTAATTTTAAATTTTGGGAATGCAGTAAAAGGTAATTAACCTAAAGATCACGTGTAAATAATAGTGTATTTGTTCCATTACATAGTTGAGAAAGGAGTCCTGATCCCTTTTTAGATGTTTTCTAGCGTTTTAATCGAAAAATAGCATTCTATGAACGAAAATGTACTTGGGCTTTCTTGAGTGTATAAAATAGGTCAGGTAAAGATTTTCAAGAGTCACACCTCCTTTTCTTTCTGCCCAAGCATGGGAGATCTGGGCTGACTAGAGGCTGCTGCTTTTGTTCCTGGGGTATAGGCAGGTCCTTGCTGTGGTCTCTACTTTCCTCACCTCCGAAAGGTATAATTAGCACCCCGTTTTTTGCCTCCTCCACCCCGCAAATTACGAAAACTACTAACATTGGCATAATAGCAGGATGTGCCTTGGTATTTAACATTTGAAGGTTTCTAGATCCCCGCTAAGGAGGATGGTGCAGGATAGTGGGCCTTCTAAGACTTCCCTTTCATTGTAGCTGGCTGCATGCCAGTGTATCATTTAACTGTCTTCAAATTGGCTGCACTCGAAAGTGCTTGAAATGAATTAAGAATTAAGGGGCATACAAGTTGAAGGCTGGTTTATCTTTGTAATTGACTGAATATTGTAGTTTAGCTGTGGAAACATTTTTTTGTGTTTTCACTAAATTTGAGGGAGATTTAAAAGAATAAGAAAGCTATAACTACTAAGGAACCTTATGGTGAAAATAAGTAATTAAATAGTATAAAATGATAATTTTACTGTTTCTGTATATGAGATCTTTTGAATTATTTTTGGTCTCTTGTGCTAATAGGCATTGCCTCTCAGAAGATGTTTACTATAGTTTTTAATAATTTGGAAGGATAGAATTGTTTGTTCTCCCAGTTGTGTGCTTTCAGAGATACGGAATTGTTGGAGATTTGTATTCTGTTGTAGGAGCAAGGCAGGGACTTATTAATGTGTAGTTTTCCCTACTAATATGAAAATTTATGTAAAGCCAGAATTAAACTTTGAGGAGGCTTTAACATTCTTTGTAAGCCAGAAAGCATGTGGGAGAACAAATTGTAATGAGCTGTGTATAGTGTGTATGTGTATAGTCATCTTTTTTCCTCTTTTATTATAGTGGTTGGCACTTATCATGGTTCCCAGGACCAGCCCCATCAAGTGACTGGTAACCACCAGCAGCCTCCCCAGCAGAACACGGGGTTTCCTCGCAGCAGCCAGCCCTATTACAATAGTCGGGGTGTGTCTCGTGGAGGCTCTCGTGGTGCTAGAGGCTTGATGAATGGATACAGGGGCCCCGCAAATGGATTCAGAGGTAAAAATTAACACCAAATTTATGCCCTTTTCTGATTTGTAAAATATATATAGAAATAGTCATCTTGTCATCTTTTTGGGAAAGATATGTATCTCTCTGCATTAGTCTCCTATATAATTTTAAAAGTTTTACATAATTTGATAGTCATTTAAATTGACATTGAGTTTTTTATAAGTGTTAGATCCATGCCAACTATTGTCCTATAAGGGATAACTGCTTTCTATATATTATCAGACCTTAGTGATTTTTTTTTTTTTTTTTTTGCCTTTTTGTGTGTGTATGTGCATGGGTGGGAGAAAATTTCATTTTCTAATGAATGCTCATAGAAATATGTAAATAAATTGGTTCAGGAGAATAATTAGAAATTAATATGAATAACTATCATGGCTTATAATTTGTAGTTCTTCCCTTGGGCAGTAGTAAGAAAGCGAACATTCCTTGTGAAGATAAGAAAATTATTCTCTTGTCCTAAATTTTAGGAGGATATGATGGTTACCGCCCTTCATTCTCTAACACTCCAAACAGTGGTTACACACAGTCTCAGTTCAGTGCTCCCCGGGACTACTCTGGCTATCAGCGGGTAGGTAAAGTTGTTTTAAAATACATAATGGCTGAAATATACCAGTGAAAGTGATTATAGTTTCTTTTTAAAATATATTTTTATTGGTTTCAGAGAGCAGAAGGGGAGAGAAGCATTGATCAACTGCCTCTTGCACATCCCACACTGGGGATGGAGTCCACAACCTGGGCATGTGCCTTGATAAGGCATCAAACCCTTAACTTCTTGGTTCATAGGTTGCTGCTCAACCACTGAACCATACTGTCTGGGCTGTAGTTTCCTGATGGACTTGATTAACTAATTTGGGTTGATTTTATACTTCTGTTGTTTTTTAAAAAATTATTTTTATTGAAATCAGAAAGGAAGGAGAAAGAGAAACATCAATGATGAGAGAGAATCATTGATTGGCTGCCTCTTGCACACTCCGTACTTGGGATTGAAGCCACAACTCAGGCATATGCCATTGACCAGAATTGAACCCAGGACTCTTCATCCCTGGGCCGGTGTTCTATCCACTGAGTCGAACCAGCTAGGGCTGATTTTATACCTTTTTACAAGATACTCCATTATGGAGAATGATGACTTTTGCTTTTTCTAGCACTCAGTGTAGGTACTCATTTAAGTACATCTGCTAAAAACAATTATTTTAAAGAGCAGAGGGAAAGAAAACATTTCACTGAACGTTCTTTAGAATAATAGGAGTATAACAATTATAGAATAATCATTATATTGAAATGTCTAAAAGAATAAAGAAGAGTTCTGTATTTTGCAAGTATTTGACTTAAGAATCTAGATGGCTAAAGATATAAAAATTACTTTCTTTTCTCTTCAGTACTAACTAGCATGTCTTTTAGGATGGATATCAGCAGAATTTCAAGCGAGGCTCTGGGCAGAATGGACCACGGGGAGCCCCACGAGGTAATATTTTGTGGTGGTGATCCTAATTCCTAATGGAGCTTCTGTTCTGGCCTTGGAAGAGCTGTCCATAATCTGCATGTAGGCTACGTGTTAGGAGTACATCTATCATTTCCAGACTTGTTGCAAGGGATTAAATGAAATGCTCTGTTTCTAAAATTTATCTTGAACCCAAATTTAATTTTTTGAATGACTTTCCCTGTTACTATACTGTCTCAAAAACTAGAACATTTTTCCTCCTCAGAAAAAAAAAATGTTTTTCCAACTGCAAATTATTTTTCAGGTCCTAAAACCTGCTAAATGTTTTTAGGAAGTACTTACTGAAACATTTTGTAAGACATTTTTGGAATGAGATTGAACATTTATATAAATTTATTATTCCTCTTTTATTTTTGAAACATGCATATTATATTTTAGGGCCAGAGACCCTTTAATGGCCAGATAAGCCATGGTTACATTTAGAGAACCATTTAGAAGTCATAGAACTTAATTGAAATTTCAATGCCTTTTGGACCACTATTATATAAATACCCATTTATTTCTGACTTTGAAACAAAACCTCCAAATTCCTAATTAGTTAAATATTTAAAAATACAGCTTTTAAGAGTTTTTGGGTTTGTCTCATGTAGGAAAACTACTTCATACGATTTGGGCAGGAAGCCAACCTATGTAACAGAAGTAGCATTTCATATGATCTGAAGTTCTAAATGGTTCTCTTGTTTGAAGGATGTAAATTGAATAGGTTTCCTCTAGATATTGGCCATCACATGTATAAAATGTATATTTAGGAGGAATTATAAAGTACTTTGATTTTAATGCTAATAGAAACTGGCCAGCAAAAGGTGCATTTTAAAAAAATTAATGGATCACTGGGAAATTATTGACTTGAAATCTCAAAGAATATTTGCATGTGAATGTGAGTTATGTTCATTTCCACCTTGTAGCATATTCTATGAAAGTTGAGTTGACTGGTAGCTAAAAATTGTTTTAACAGCATGTAAAAAGTTATTTTATCTGTTACAAGTCATTATACAATTTTCAATGTTATGTAGTTTCTTTTTAAAAGTTTAGGTAATAAGGTCTGTTTTTCATTCTGGTGCTTTTATTAATTTTGATAGTATGATGTTACTTACTACTGAAATGTAATAAGCTAGAGTGTACACTAGAATGTAAGCTCCATGAGAGCAGGTACCTTGTCTGTTTTCACTGCTGTATCTATTTCCAACGCCTGATGACAGTGCCTGGCACATAGTAGGCACTCAATAAATACTTGTTGAATGAATGAATGAATGAGTACTGGTGGAATACTCCATTAGCTCTACTCTTCTTTTAGCTAGAGAACATGAGCAAATTTGGGCATGACAACTTCCAGGACAGGTGAAACTTGAACACTGAAGAATTGACCTCTTAAACCTAATAATGTGGTGACAAGCTACCCACATGCTTCTTGACTTCAGATGAAAATCTGCTTGAAGGCAAAACAAATAGTATTTGAAAGAAAAACCAAATGCCATTTTTGTCTTCTAGGTCGTGGAGGGCCCCCAAGACCCAACAGAGGGATGCCGCAAATGAACACTCAGCAAGTGAATTAATCTGATTCACAGGATTATGTTTAATCGCCAAAAACACACTGGCCAGTGTACCATAATATGTTACCAGAAGAGTTATTATCTATTTGTTCTCCCTTTCAGAAAACTTATTGTAAAGGGACTGTTTTCATCCCATAAAGACAGGACTACAATTGTCAGCTTTATATTACCTGGATATGGAAGGAAACTATTTTTACTCTGCATGTTCTGTCCTAAGCGTCATCTTGAGCCTTGCACATGATACTCAGATTCCTCACCCTTGCTTAGGAGTAAAACATAATATACTTTACAGGGTGATAATATCTCCATAGTTAACCGAAGTGGCTTGGAGAAAGCAAGATTGACTTGTGACATTGGATAAAGTCTACAAATCAACCCTAGTGTTACTCAATGGTAATTGACAAAAACATTTCCCTTGAAAGGAAGATGGAAGGAGTTTGGTTTGGCAGAAAACTGCATTTCACAGCTTTTCCAATTAAATTGGAGCACTGAACATTTAAATGCACATCAAATTACGCATGGGCCCTTAATCACATATATAAGGTTGGCTACCAGCTTTGACACAGCACTATTCATCCTTGGCCAAATGACTGTGGTTCAAAACACATGTATATTGCTTCCTAACAGCTGACACTGTGTAAGACAAAGCCAAAATGCAAAATTAGGCTTTGATTGGCACTTTTTGAAAAATATGCAACAAATATGGGATGTAATCTGGATCACCGCTTCTGTACTTACTGTGAAATATTTAGATACCTTTTGAACACATAACATTTTCTTTGACAATGATTTTTGTAAGGACTGGTAATACCTACTATCATTCCTTATGATGCTCATTGTCTGTCACTAATCCTTGGATCTTGCTGTTTTGTCACCTGAAGTGGTACAGGTACTGATGAAAATCTATAATGGATAATCCTAACACTCTTGGCCACATGTTTTCCTGCAGTCTGAAGGTTTTTAAAAGATATCAAATGCCTGCTGCTACCACCCTTTTAAATTGCTATCTTTTGAAAAGCACCAGTATATGTTAGATTGATTTCCCTATCTTAGGGAAATGACAGTCAATAGTTTCAGTTCTGATGGTATAAGCAAAACAAATAAAACATGTTTATAAAAGTTGCATCCTGAAACACTGGTGTCCAACAGCTAGCAGCTGTTCAATTATGCATTGTTAGTGTTTCAAATTTTGTGGTCATCTCCAGCAGCTATTTCTACAGTACTTAAATTTGTCTAACCTTAATTATCCTTTTCTCCTGAGGGATTTCTATTCAAAGTGGTGATTCCTTCCCTTAGGTGCACAGGGAGAGTCACAGATTTTGATGGAGATTGACAGTTTAGTAATTGATGTACTATGCTGGAATGAGTGCTAGCAGTTTGAGCACTTAGTTCTGTGCCTATAAACTCAATGCTGCTGGTCGTATCCCACTTTGTCTTCATGGAGAACTAAGCCCACCTATTAAGAAAAGATTACTAAGTTAATGATATTTTCTGTGCAGAAGTTACATTTTTTCACCCTTTAGCTAAGGACTTTTTTTTTTTCAGTAGGTGCTCAGCACAAAACTGTTCTTAAACATTCTTCATTAGACAACTGGAGTTTTTGCTGGTTTTAACCTAAAATGGATAGGCTGTTGAACATTCCACATGCAAAAATTTTGTAGGGTGGTGGGGAGTGGGGGGGAATCTTCAATGTTTATTTTAAAATAAAGTAAGTTCTTGACTTTCCTCATGTGTGGTTGTGGTACATCATATTGGAGGGTTATCTGTTTACATTTGCAAACGAGTATTTATTTTGTTGGCACCTCCCCTTGTGTGCTTTAAATGACATCTGCCTGGGATGTACCACAACCATATGTTATGTGTATTTTAGAGGGATTATATAGAATATTCATGGTTTATTGGGTAATTCCTAGTTGTATGCTTGCAGTCCTCTATAAAACTAAATTTGCTATCCATGTAGAAAAGAATTCAATGACATTTACGTTCAAAATTGAAGTAAATAAGTTCTTTATACAGTGAACTCATTCAGTTCAGATTGAGATGGTGAGAAACACTAGATTTCAAAATGGGATGTGATTACTTCCTAGATTTCAAAATTCTATGCATTAGTGTAGATGTTGTGAATGTGTAAAGGTATTTGTTTGATTATTTTTTTTTTGAAGTACTATGTATTTTTTTTTTTTTTGGCATTCTACCATTACAGTGTAAATGTAAAGCATTTATGCTTCAATTCAGACTATATTTTTAAATGTTTTTTATTGATTTTTTTTTTTTTTTTTTTTTTTTTTTTGAGAGGGACAGGGATAGAAATTTGGATGAGAGAGGAACATCATTGATTGGCTGCCTTTTGCACTGCCCCTATTGGGGATGGAGCCCGCAACCTCTTGATTCCTGATTTGATGCTCAACCAAGGAGCCATAACGGCTGGGGCCAGGCTATATTTTTTAAAGAAATACCTTCTTCTGAGGCAGAGAACTTTGTACAAGGTTCCATTAAGATCTGAGTCTTGGTTCTAAGTATTCTGTGTAATATATTAATATAGTTGTCCCATCTTCTGCAGAAAGGCCGTTTTTTTTGGTCAAATGCATATATTAGCAGAGTTGCAAGGAAATGATTGTCATGTGTCACTGTAGCTTCTTGGAATAGCAAGACTCCATACATACAAAGAATTTTTGTAAATGCACAAATTCCAATCATTTCACATGGACAATGTGGCTTTTGTTTTAAAGCTTTAAGGTAGAATGTCATGGTTTGCCTTGGTTAGGGCAATTTAATTTCCAGGTCCTGATATCCCTAAAGAATAGGGAAGAGTTTTCCCTGATCATTGTTATCTTGATACTAAAGTATCCTTTACATGTTTTTTAATCAGTTAGCTTGTATAGTTGTTTTGTCTCATGTGCAACATGGGAGACTTTTCCACTTATTGGAGACGTGAGAATGTGTTTACTAACAGAAGGCTCATGAACGGAGGTGCTTTGTTGACAACCAATTCATAAAATGTAGAAGATAGTTGAGTAGTCAGTCTTATAAGTGTCCTAGGAAATTTGTATTTTATTTTTAATGACATCTAATTAGGGGGAAATGGGATATAGATAAGCACTGAGTTCAAAACCTTCATTTCATCTTTAAGCTCCTGAACTCCTAAGTCACTCAGTTCTTGTTAAGCCTCTTAAGTTTTGTTGACAAAAAGAGTTGGTATTGCCCTTGAACTTTTCCCTTCTAAAGAGGTAATGGGGAAGGAAAACCCTCAGGAAACTGAAAGTAAACTGTTAAGGCTCATCACACCTTTTGATGAATTTTGAATTCTACAAAAATACTGGAGAAGACTAGTGAATGTTTTAATTACATTAGATTAAATCATTAAAGTCTTATTCCTTATTGTCCTTGAGTGAAGTCTGCCTTAGTTGCATATACCATTCATCAAACTTTTAAGTAAAGATGTGTTCCTTACACTTAGGAGGAGAGGAAAAAGCTTAGACATCTCTTTGGTAGCCTTGATTTCTAAGAGGACAGGACTACAGTATTCTCATCAGGCTTTCCATACCTTTCACAGCTGCTCTGAAGCCTAATCCAGTCCCATGCAGAAGACTGGCTCTTAGAGTTTACATAGTGAAGGTTCACCTAATCTATTAATAAGCCAATTTTCAATACTGTTATTTTTAAGTACTGGTTTTCTTGGAGTCCTGTGTTTAAATTAGGGAGCCACTGAACTAAATCTTCATTGAGAAAATTTGGGTGGCCTTTGCCCAGCATGCCAAGCACTGAGCATTCAGTGGTGACAAAAATCACTGCGGTTCCTTCTTTCAATGAACTGTCTAAAGATACTGATGTGGCAGTAGAGTGTAGCAAATGCCACGATGGCGTAGCATAGCTTTTAAGGTCATGACTGATAGGATGTGACCTACTCAAAACGATCAGGAAAGACTTCATTGAAAGATGCTGAGCTAAAACCAGAGGAAAGCATGTCTAAAGGTCAAATCTCCAGTGTCTGAGAATGCCATCTGGTTCCAGTGAGAATACAGACTTAGAGTTAGAGTGCGAGGCGGAAGAAGCACACACAAACCACTATAGATGTTTTAATGGTTAAATGCCATGTTTTATTTTGTAAGAATAGATGGGGACTATTGAAGACTTTTGAGCTGTGTGTACAGGGGGAAGGATGGTGGGCCTCCTAATAAATGCCATTTTGAAGAACACTGCAGTGTTGAGAAGAAAATGTACGGGTCAAGAGATGCCTGCTCAAAGTAATTCATGTATGAAATATAAAATGTGGAGGGTGGTGAATGGGTTCTATGTATTTCCTATCTGTATACTTTGCTGAGTTCTCTGGGCTTTGGTTATCAGACTTATCTCTAGCTAATACTTTTTTCCCTTAGATGACCTCATTCAATCTCATGATTTTGACACAATTAGCATTTTATTGTGAAATATTTCTAGGTCCCAAACTCTTGAGGCAATCCATACTGTCTTCATTTGAATGTGGTGAGTATGCCAATTTGGTCTCTTGATTAGCCCACATTTTTCCAGTTACTCAGAGCACACACATCTGGGACATCGTCTTGAATTTCCTTTCATACCCTATATCTAGTCGTTAACGCAAATCCACATGGTTCTACCTTGAAAATATATCTTGAGTCACACAGCACTTGTGGCTATCACCAATAGAAGTTAACTACAGTAGCTTATAATGGTTCTCCCTACTTCTATTGCTATAGTTTTTGCATAGTGGCCAGAGTGAGCCTTTTAAAAGGACAGATTTTGTCATTTCCCTGAATCCCAAACTGCAGTGGTTTCCCATCACTCCTGGAGTTGTCGGTCAGTGGCCCACATGTCCTTCATTACCCGCCTGATCTATCCTTTTCCTTTTTGCTAATTACTCTGGCCACACTGGCTGCTTTGCCAAGATTTTCACTAAGTTTGGGTTTTTGCTTCATGTCCACCTCTAAAGCAGTACCCTTAATCACTGGATATTTTAGCTTTAATACCACTTAAAACCTACCTGAAGCTTCACGAAGGACAGGAACGTGGTTACTATCCCCTGCGCCTGGCATGGTGACTGTTGAGTAAAGAAATTGGACTAGATGGGTGATGGCGCTGATTACATCAGCTTTAGAAGTGCTTGCTTTGGGGAAAGTTTCAGGGAGCAAGAGGAAATGAGCCCGGCTTCAGACATGATGAATTTGGGGTGTCCGAAAAGAAGTGTCAAACAGTTAAGTTTATGAAGTTCAACGATCTAGCACAAAGAATGTATGGGTGACCTTGTGGCCATGTGCTTAGGCGAGTTATGGGAGCTGCACAGGGGCAGTAGCAGCTGAACCCGGGAGCGCCAGCACTGGGTGGCCGTGGGCCTAGAGGGAACCTGCAAAGTACGGCGGTCGCAATGGGTAAGAGACAGGATTCCGGACTACCAGGTCCTCGACTGGGGTGCTGCTTAAATGAGATGAAATAGGTATGCCGACCGAGTTTCCTCCCCTTGTCACAGTAAAACAGTAAGGTGCTTAAATAAGAGGGCCGGTAAAATTACGCGGATTCCTGGAACCCGGAATGTCTCGCATAATGAGGCTAATAGAACCCTAGACTATTCACCCAGTGGTGTCCGGACCTGCCCGGCACAGGGGAGGCCGGGGGTGCGGGCACCTGCGTGCTTTATTTTGCCCTTGGCAGCTAGATGTCTTCATTTCGATATGAAGAGGAGCAAATTACACGCTGCACCATAGCCGCCGCCCGCACAAGAGCCGCGGTGTCGTCCAGGATGGTAGCCCCGCCTCCGGGGCCTGACGTCATCACGCAGCGACGGGGCTGAGGAAAGCCCCCGGGCGCGCGCCGCCTCTCGGCGCCGGGGGGCGGGGCGGGGCCGGAGCCGGGCGGAAGCGGGGCTGCCCCTGCGCCGTCCTAGGAAGCAGCTCCTGAGCACGTCGTCCTCCACGTGCTTCCGCTTGGCTGCCAGGGGAGTCCACCAGCTCGGGACGCAGGTACTTCTCCGGGGCGGCGGGGCCTGGGTGCCGGGGTCGGTGTCTTGGGGCCGAGGAGCCCGGCGTCCATGCCTGTGCCTGGCCACGCCGGCTGCCGCCACGCCGGCGCCCCGGGATGACAGGAGCCTCCTCCCCAACGGGGTAGGGGTGAGGGTGGAGGGGGGAGTGTCCCTGGCTCGATTTCCACCCTCCGGGGACCTCTCGCTGGGGGAGTCGAGTTGAAGGGGTCACGGTGACAGCACTTCGCCTCCCGCGGACTCGCCCGCGGCACTGAAGCCCGCGCCGGGGACCCGGGGCCGCGCTGGCGTCCAGCTGAGGCCGTCTGAGTCCAGATCCTCCCACCCAGCTGCTCCACGGCGCTCATTCACTTACACTCCGCGTTCAGCAGTCACACTCAGGACTTCCTTTTGTTTACTAGTGCACCCCGAAGGCCGCCGGGCGTATGGGTGCTGTGTGTATTTGTTAGACGACAGACGAGTGAATGAAAAATAATCACCCTTTTCCCCCTGCAAGGCCTTCCTCATCCATTAAGCCTTTCATGGCCACAGTAATCTAGGACTTGAATCAGAAGTAAAGACTTTGTCTGGTACTATTCTGGGCCTGCCAAGTAACCGGAGCAAAAAGCAGCCCCAGGAACCGTTATGGATGGGTTATAATGGGGTCGTTCTGTGGCCGGCAACACAGCCGTCAAGATGGGCAGGTTAGAGAAAACGAATGACCAGGCTCCCCAGTCAGGCAGACTTGAGTGTGAGTCCAGTCTCCACCACGGATTGGGACGTAGTGTTTATAATAAAACACAACTGCTAAATTCCGTGTTTGGGTTGGGGAATTACAAGAACAGTAAAGGCATGGTGAAGGTTCAGTTAATGAGCTTTACATTTAGAATGTAGCAGACACTGGAGTTTCAAAGTAACACTTAAAATTTCATGTTATAAATGTAATTAACATATCGGATGTTTCTTTGGTGTGTTTATTATGGCAATGATGTGATATTTTATTATATGTAATTACAATAATTTTTGAGGTCTACCTGGTGTGTGAATTTTAAAAAGCAAAATTCCACACATCCCCAAAGGAAAAACAAACAACAAAATAAGAATCACCAGCAATCTCAAATCTAGAAATAACTACTTTATATTTTGGTGTTTTCTTCCAGTCTCCCCCCCCCCCCCCCCCCCCCCCGCCTCTTTCTAAAAAATAATACTTTAAAAAAATATATATATATTTTATTGATTTTTTTACAGAGAGGAAGAGAGAGGGATATAGAGTTAGAAACATCTATGAGAGAGAATCATCAATCAGCTGCCTCTTGCACACCCCCTACTGGGGATGTGCCTGCAACCAAGGTACATGCCCTTGACCGGAATCGAACCCTGGATCTTTCCGACGCTTTATCCACTGAGCCAAACCAGTTTCGGCAAAAAATAATACTTTTATTTGTTGATTTCAGAGAGGAAAGGAGAGAGGGAGAGAGATAGAAACATGAATGATGAGAATCATTGATTGGCTGCCTCCTGCATGCCTCCCACTGGTCAAGCCTTCAGCAGCAACCCTGCTCCTGTGCCCTGACTGGGAATCCAACCGGGACCTCTTGGTTCAACCACTGAACTACGTAGGCCAGGCATCCCTCTCCCTCCCCCCCCATGTATTATGTATATGCATAAAAAACCCAATATTATACTTAATCCTGCCACATTATTCTCTCATGAGCATCTATATCCATATTTGTAGATAGCTTTAATGATTTTGAAAAAGTTTTATTGAAAACTGCTTTATTATATCCCATAGATATACCATTATATAGTACTGGAGGTCTGGTACACAAAATTTGTGCAATGGAAGGGATGGTCCCTCAGCTTGGCCTGCGCCCTCTCACAGCCCAGCTCTGGCTGAGCGTCTGCTCCCTGGTGGTCAATGCACATCATAGCTACTGGTCGTTCTGCCGTAATGGCCACTTAGGCTTTTATTATATAGTATAGTCACCAATTTTTTTTTTGAACATGGTTTCTGATTTTTTAAAACACTCCTCCATATACTTGTGAATGACAGCTTTCCTGTTGACTTCCCATGTTGAAGGATCATTTTCTTCCCCTCCCAAGCTCAGTTTCCTAATTTTAAAAAATCAGGGTGATGTCTTCCCAAGAGAGCTGTTTGAGGGCTAAAGTGTTACCTGTAAATGTGCCTAGAACAGTCTCTGGCCTCACAGGAGGCGCAGCTAATGTTCCTCACCCAGAGTCTGGAGCTCATGTCAGTGTGCTTCCTTCCTCTCTGTTTTAGCGATAGTATTCGCCATGCATCGGAAGAAAGTAGATAACCGAATCCGGATCCTCATAGAGAATGGGGTAGCTGAGCGGCAAAGGTCTCTCTTTGTTGTGGTTGGAGATCGAGGAAAAGATCAGGTAAGGCCTGGTGCATGCTTCTGCCTTACTGTGTGCAGTCCCAAGAGTCGTCATGGTACAGGCCCTCTTGGCCTTTAGCACACAATGACATTAAGGACCCTTGACTGCTTTTCTTTTTAAATGCTTTCTTTAAAAAATATTTTTTTATTGATTTCAGAGAGGAAGGTGGAGGGATAGAGATAGAAACATCAATGATGAAAGACTATCATTGGTTGGCTGCCTCCACACCTCCTACCAGGGATCAAGCCCGAAATCCGGGCATGTGACCTGACCGAAAATCGAACCGTAACCTCCTGGTTCATAGGTTGATGCTCAACCACTGAGCCAGACCAGTCCAGCTTGATTAGCTTTCTTTTTTAATATACTTTTTTTATCGATTTTAGAGAGGAAGGGAGAGGGAGAGAGAGAGAGAGAAATATCAATGATAAAAAATCATTGATCGGCTGCCTCCTGCATGCCCCCAACTGGAGATCAAGCCCGCAATCCAGGCATGTGCCCTTAACTGCAGTCGAACCCGGAACCCTTCTGTCCACAGGCCAATGCTCTGTCCACTGAGCCAAACCTGCTAGGAGCTTGACTGTTTTCTTTAAGTAAAATGCCAACTGGGAAATCTTCCTTTATTTATTTGTAAGCGATAAATACTCTGTATTGAGAATTATTAGCAGACAGGTTAATAAGTATAGATGCCTTGATGGTGGGTGGTTAAGGGTGTGTGGCTTCTAGTCCCATCGGGAGCCCTACTTGCCTTGTGACTTTGGGCACTTCCCTGGCCCTCCGCTTAGTTTCCACATCTGTCAAAGGAGGTCTTGGGCCTGGGCAGACTCAAAGGTCTCTTTTGGTTCTGAGATTCTGTGACTTCTTCCTTTGGCAGGTGGTCATACTCCATCACATGTTGTCCAAAGCAACCGTGAAGGCTCGGCCCTCGGTGCTGTGGTGTTACAAGAAAGAGCTGGGGTTTAGCAGGTAAGCTTGGCCCTTTGAGTGCCCCGTAAGTGCCAGGAAATTACTTCTTTTCTTTTTGAGCCTTTTAATTGTTTTTTAAAAGCAGCGCCCTGAGGTAACGAGGTCACTGAGGTTGGTTTCAAGCTTTGGCTCTGGCCAAAAGAGGTTTAGGGATTCTCATCACCCCTTTTTTAAAGTGACAGAGCAGGATGGCAGAGTTCACACCCAGGCTTGCCTCTGTCTCCCTCCGAAGCCCAGCTTCTGAACCACTCTGCTCCTGTGCTGTGGTTTTTCACCCTTCAGAGGAGGGGATCAGCCTTACATTTCCAGGTTCCCTCCCGGCTCTGAGGGTCTCAGCAGTGATCATTCACTCCCAGTTCTCTAGCCCCTCTGGTTAACTGGATCTCATGGGATTGGGGGGGTGATTGCAGCCACCGGAAGAAAAGGATGCGTCAGCTACAGAAAAAAATAAAGAACGGAACTCTGAACATAAAGCAGGACGACCCCTTTGAACTCTTTGTCGCCGCCACAAACATTCGCTACTGCTACTACAATGAGACGCACAAGATCCTAGGCAACACCTTCGGCATGTGTGTCCTCCAGGTGGGTGCCGTCCTCCGGGAGGCCGGGGTCAGCATTGGGGGTGCTGGGGGGGCTCCCCAGGAGAGCAGTGGGCAGCAAGAGAGAGGATTCACATGGACCCCCCTCTCCCAAGTATCATCAGCGGATCACTGGCCTCTTTCAAACAGACGATAATTTATCCCGTGTTAAGAGAACAGTTTCTACTTAAAGTGGCAAGGGATACCAACACTGGCAGTGATGTCCTGTCACACAGTCTAACAGGTTAAAGCTGATAAAGAAAGCGCTCCCAGGACCCCAGGGATCAAGTGATCCCAGGACCCCAGGTCTTGATTGGAAGTAACTGAAAACTTTGGTGACCAGTTAGACTTGTTTTAACCAACTGGGTTCAGACCTGTGCACTCATGTCCTATCCAGAGTGCCTGACTGGCATAACCCCCACCAATACTCTCCTGCCCCTTCAAGTCCTTAAACTCCCCTCACAACCTCCCCCTACACACACACACACACACACACACACACACACACAACTACCCGGTGAATTTCTTCACTGGTATGCATTATTTTGTCTGGCAAGTTAATAGACTATTTCACATTTGTCTTTGTTTTGAGCTCTCATGGTCTTTGTTTTAGTCTTTGATTCACACACACATACACACACACACACAAAGACATTTAAGCACAAATCCCACATTTTGGTATGTATTTATTTATTTATATGTACTATTATGATTACATACATTGTAAAGCAGACCTTACAACGTATAAATTAAGAAAATCATGACTAGAAGTTCTAATTTCCCCCGTCTGCCGTCCAGTGGGTTATGCTACCCACTGCTGGCTTGCATCCTACGTTGGAGGCAGGAAAAAGCATTTTGCCTCACACTCTCTTCATCACTGACCCATAGGGAGTGTTGTTAAGCTCACCACTGTTAACTCTGTTATCAGTGGCAGTGACTGTGGCTCCTTTGGCAATGGCTCCCCCGTGTGGTGCGGTTGAGTTTTGTCAGTTAGTTTCCATCTGTAAACATAGCAGAAAATGAATGTGAGATGTTTCTGAAATTCATGTTTGAATCAGTGAAGACTGGAGGATGGCTGTCCAAAATGCATATTATCAGAGACTATTAGAAACACTTTTGACGTGTAAATCCAGGTATTCCTATTCTCCAGGGCTAGGCTTCTGTGGTACCCTAAGTAAGGGTAAGGGTGTGTGTGTGTGTGTGTGTGTGTGTCCGGTGAGTTGGGTGAAGGATGTGATCTTGAGCTTGTACTCTGAAGCCCTCCTTTTACTACAGCACCTGGCCCTTGGGTAAGCCTCCATGTGGGCACTCTGCATGGCCAGCCCTTTCTAAAATCTCTTTCTTCCAGGATTTCGAAGCTTTAACTCCAAACCTGCTGGCCAGGACTGTAGAGACAGTGGAAGGTGGTGGGCTCGTGGTTATCCTCCTACGGACCATGAATTCCCTCAAGCAGTTGTACACGATGACCATGGTAAGTGTCTGGTAACTTAGTGTGGAGGGCTCAAGTCAGGTGATTTTACTGTCGATCACTCTGAAGAATTCCTGTTGAGCAGCCCCAGTGAGCGGTCAGCACGGTCTCGGGGCTGAGAGCGCTCAGACCGCAGCTAATGAGAAAGTCACTGCAGCCGGGACCGGTTTGGCTCAATGGATAGAGCGTCGGCTTGGGGACTGAAGGGTCCCGGGTTTGATTCCGGTCAAGGGCATGTACCTTGGTTGCAGGCATATTCCCAGTAGGGGGTGTGCAAGAGGCAGCTGGTCCATGACTCTCTTTCATCGATGTTTCTAACTCTCTATCTCTCTCCCTTCCTCTCTGTATAAAATCAATAAAATATATTAAAAAAAAGAAAAAAAGAAAGTCACTGTAGCGGCCCTAAGTGTGCCTAGGAACCTCTGAATTTTGTGGATGCCTCTGTTAATGGCTGTTCTCTTCCAGGACGTGCATTCAAGATACAGGACTGAGGCTCATCAGGACGTGGTGGGGAGATTTAATGAGAGGTAGGCTGTAGCACATTTCTCAGGCCTTTATTGTGGGAGCCACCGCGGGAAGGATGTTTTGTCTTGAACCCAACTGAGAGTTGGGCTTCTGTCTGAGGGAGGTGGTACCGGAGCCCACACAGTGAGACCTGGGACAGCAGCAGCTGTGACATAGCAGAAAGCAGTGCAAGCGCGTGGGAAGCTGGGCCAAGAGGCCTGGATTCTGTCTCGCTCCTGGCCCTCACCAAGTCCTGCTCCCTCTCCGGCTCTCAGCTAACTCATCTGTCAGAGGGGTGATTTGTCGGGGTCACTGTTTCCTGAAATGCATTTTGCAGAACACTTAGTTTTTATTTTTTTATTTTTATTGATTTCAGAGAGGAAGGAAGAGGGAGAGTTAGAAACATCAACGATGAGAGAGAAGCATTGATTGGCTGCCCCCTGCACGCCCCCAACTGGGGATCGAGCCCGCAACCAGGGCATGTGACCTTGATCAGAGTTGAGTCCGGGACAGGCCGAGGCTCTATCCACTGAGCCAAACCAGCCAGGGCGAACACTAGTGTTTTAAGGGGGACCTTCTGACAAAAAGGTTTTGTGGCCCAGTGTGTCTGGGGAATGCTGGCACTGCTCCTCCTTTATGAAGAGTCACTTTAGCCTGTTGTAGCCTCGGAAAGCCCTGCAGCAGCAGGGGCCTGTTGAATGTTTATTTGGCCCGGGGCCCTTTTTTAGGGAACTCCAGTTAGCAGCCCGTGAAGCACATTGAGAAGTGGTGGCCATGAACAGTAGTTCTCAGCTGGAGCCATTGGGCACTGGGGAGATTTGGCAATGCCTGGAGCCATTTTGATTGTTATGTCGGGCGGGGTGTGTGGCAGAGGGTGCTACTGGCATCTAGTGGGTAGAGGCCAGGGATCTGCTAACCAGCTTAAGAGACAACAGAACAACAAAGTGATCTGGTCTAAGATGTCAGTGGTGCTGAAGGTGAGCCATCCTGGCCTTGAGCCTGGGGCCTCTCTGAGACTGACTCCTGGAGCAGGACAGGAAGTTACCCTGTGCTCCCTAAAGCCTGTGACCAGAACAGCGTGAGGCCTTTTTCTCACATCTGTGGGAGAATTTCAAGTTCATAGCCAAACACATGTTTTCCTACATGCAAGAATGTTTATGTTCTGTTTCTTAAGGGAGCTTTTCTGTCTTCCCTTTTCTTTATTCTTTCTTGCTGTGACAGCAGGTAAATCCATTTGTGCATGTTTCTCTGTATGAGCAGTGAGCACATGGGGGTGGGTTTGGAGGTCCCCATTTAAGGGAGCCCCGAGACACTATAGTGCTAAAGGGTGAGGGGATGTGGAAGGGCCAAATGGCACAGGGAACAGTGGCGGCTGTGCACAGAGGAATGCTTGTAAGCAGTCTTTCGAGAGTTCTCGGCTTTCTCTGCTGCATGAAGCGTGTTCAGGCCCTGGCTGGTGTGGCCCAGTGGGTTGGGCTGAAGGGTTGTCAGTTGATCCTAGCTGGGTACATGGCCAGGTTGCAGGCTCAATCCCCGGGGGCATGCAGGGGCAGCTGATCGATGTTTATCTCTCTCCCTCTCTGAAAATCAGTTAGGAAAAATAAAAGTCTGTTCAGGTGCCCTGGAGAGGAGCTCTCCTCCCATTGCTATCCGACGGGGTTTTGACTTTCTCTGGCTTCTCAGAGACGTGGGGCCAGATGATCAGCCACACTTTGCTGTGTAGACATTGTCCTCTCCCCCCAACACCTCACGGTGGTGGTTTTGCTCCTCAGGTTTATTCTTTCCCTGGCCTCCTGTAAGAAGTGTCTTGTCATTGATGACCAGCTCAACATCTTGCCCATCTCCTCCCACGCGGCCAGCATTGAGGCCCTCCCTCCGCAGGCCCCGGTGAGTAGGCCTGGGTCCGAGAACCTGGGAAGGCTGCCTTGTCTGCCGAACTCTCCCGTGGCAGTGGCAAACCTTATCTCCCCTGCTAGGATGAGAGTCTCGGTCCTTCTGATCTGGAGCTGAAGGAGCTGAAGGAGAGCTTGCAGGACACGCAGCCCGTGGGCGTGTTGGTGGACTGCTGCAGGACCCTAGACCAGGTGAGTGGCATTCAGACGTTCCCTGTCCCAGAATACATAGCACAGAGGGGTAACTAACGTGCAGAAAGCCACACGCCAAGTCAAAGCTTGGATCCTCCCTGGGGAAGGCGTATTCTCTTGCTCAGACTCAGCAGGGCTGTTCTGTCTTGTCTGGGTTCACAGCAGAAGTCCAGGATTACTTTGCCCCAGCACCCCCAGGAACAGTTCAGGCCTGGGAGAACTGCCCCCCTTTTATTTGGCCTTGTCATCAGCCTGATTCTCCAGGGGATGGGGGAGATGGCTGGAACTCAGCCTTTCTCAGAGCTCACCCTAATGCATGTCTTCCCACAGGCCAAAGCCGTCCTGAAGTTCATCGAGGGCATCTCTGAAAAGACCCTGAGGAGTACCGTTGCACTCACGGCCGCCCGAGGGAGGGGGAAATCTGCAGCCCTGGGATTGGCTATTGCTGGGGCAGTGGCTTTTGGGTAAGGGGGCCCGAGTCCCCATCTTTAGGAACTCTGGGCTGCGGGTTAGGGAGGGCTCAGCAGGCTGGGAGGCCATTCTGGGGCTGAGCAGGCTCCTGGTGATTTTTCTTGGAGTTGGGTTCCTGTCTAGAAGCAGCAGCATATTCCCCAACTCTTAGGTGCAAACACACATGTGCAGGCAGACACGGACACAATCCAGGGCCTCTGTGGTCACTTTCAAGTTGAGCAAACACAAAAGCAAAGAGACGCCGGTGAGAAACTAAAATTCCCAGGATATGAGAATGTGTATGACCAGCTTTGCTGATTAGAAAAGTACAAGTTTGACATTTTAATAATTTTGATCAATAGAAGATCTTGTTTGCTTCTGAGGAGCTGCCTTGCACGTGATGTTACTCCTGTCTTTTGTCCTGAGCGGGAGATTCATGCAGCGGCCAGCAGAGTGCCTGCTTCCGACTTCGCAGACATTAGCAGTGGACCCAGGAGACGGTGTTCTCCGACACGCGCCCTCTTCCCCTGTGCTCCTGGTCGATCTGAGCGTTGTATAGATGGAGGAACGTCCCAGTGACTGCTCAGATCCTGAGCAAGTCAGAGCCAGCAGCTCTGGGCTGAATTCAATTCCCAACTCTGAGTCCTTTGTTCCTCTTGCTGTTCCCAGGGTACCAGCTGGCCCCTTAGTTGTGAGCACCCGTACAGCACAGCTCGTGGTCAGTGTGGTGCCGTCCCTCTCGTCCCAGGCACAGGACCAGGAGCTGCGAGCCAGCTTTGCCCTCGGAGGGATGGTCCCCATGCACCTCTTAGTGCGTTTTCACGAGTGGATAGCTAATTACAGGACATACTGCCTTCAAGCTGTTAGTACTTTCCTTTGTTTGGGAGGAAAAAATCCTCATGTCTGAGTTGCTTAACTTTTCCTCCTGATTCTCACCTCCCCCCCCCCCCCCCACACACACACACACACAAATTCCCCAATCCCCCTCCCAGCATTGTTTGGTCATTACCTGTGTGACTTGGGCAAACAAAAACGTGTTCTTTTTTTCTTAAGTTCCCTAAACAGTTCTTAGGTTTCTTAATTACTTAAGCGTCTTTTTCTTTTGTTCAATAGGTACTCCAATATCTTTGTTACCTCCCCAAGCCCTGATAACCTCCACACCCTGTTTGAGTTTGTATTTAAAGGATTCGATGCACTGCAATATCAGGTAGGAAGTCAGGCCAAGAGTTACTTTTGGCTGAGTGCTGAGTTTAAATCCGGGGGAAGTCTTCAGAATGGGTGCTCGCTTTCTCACTCTTCCGTTTCTAAAGCTTGTTGCTGACGCTCGTCCCTGGTTTTCCTCTTCCCCATCAGGAGCATCTGGATTATGAGATCATTCAGTCTTTAAATCCCGAATTCAACAAAGCCGTGATCAGAGTGAACGTGTTCCGAGAACACAGGCAGACAGTGCAGGTGAGGCCCGCTCCCAGCTCTGCTGGGCGGGGGTGTCCCGCTGGTGTTCAGCGCTCCGCGGTGTTTCCTGGCAGTCACTTTATTCCTGTGCCATCGCGTGTCTTTTACACGGTTGTTGTTTTAGGGTAACCTGCCCCAGATTTCCAGCCTCTTCTAGAGAAAAACATCCAAACAAACTAACATATGTATGGAGCCAGATTGGCAAGTTGCAGTTTTGACCCATGGGTCAAAGTTCCTTAGGTAAAAGGCAGAAACACTTAACATCATTTATAACCTGGACTCTGATAAAAAGGCATGAGAGTATGGGACTGAGAGTATGCTGATCTGCTAAGAGAAGTACAGTTGTTCCGACAACAGTTCTCATTTTGCTTAGTTACAGCGGATTTTGAAACGGTGCGTCAGTAACGAACAGTAACCTCACCATTGCAAAGAAAAACAACTTTGCAAAAATGGACTCTGAGCCTTAGTGAGTGGCCTATTTTCCCTTTTAAACTGTCTCCCTGAAGGCGTATAAACCTCCAGGGCTTTGCAAGCCTGAATGGTGGCCACTTGTCTGAAGGACGCAGTTTTGTTAAGTCGTAGAGAAGCATCCCTGTGCCTGGCTTGCAGAAGGGATGGAGGCCCTCAGGCCCCTGGTGGAGGAGGTTCTTTGGTTATCGCTGGGGTTGGGTGGCTGGGAAATGGGCAGGCAAACTTGGCAGTGTACGCCCTTGACCTTTCTTCCTGTTAAGGGAGCTATGCCTGTGAAGAAGGCATGCCTCTCTATCCCCCCTTTAAAAAAAAAAAATATTTTACTGACTTTAGAGAGGAAGGGAGAAGGAGATAGAAACATCAGTGATGAGAGAAAATCATTGATTGACTGCCTCTTGCACACCGCCTACTGGGAATCAAGCCTGCAACCCAGGCATGTGCCCTTGGCTGAAATTGAACCTGGGACCCTTCCGGCATGCCTTTTTATCAGAGTCCAGGTTATAAATGATGTTAAGTGTTTCTGCCTTTTACCTAAGGATCTTAATTTTTTTTTTTTTTTTTTTTTTTTTTTTTTTTTTTTTAAAAGAAGGTCTCTTTCTAGAATCTCTCATTCTGTACATTTCTTCCCATTTTGCCTGGTTCCCTCAGCTGAGAGGAGGCAAGACTGATGTTGGGCGGCAGGCAATGAAAACGCAGAGACCTGTTAAAACTGAAGAAAGACACACAAACCAAAGAAAAGAAGCCTTTCCCTGAAATGCCCTGGCTCAGCCCTTGCTGGTGTTTGGGTTTTTTTTTTTGTTTTTTTTTTTTATCACAGACCCTCTTGCGTACCAGAGACCTTTGTCTCCAGACTGGAGTTCAAACAGAACTGGTGACCTGATTTTATGAGGCTCCATTTACGTTCCATTGTGCTAGAAATTGAAATAAACAAACAAAACCAAAAGACAAAAAACCAACCCACAAAGAATATTAAAGTCTGCTGTGCCTCCTCTAGGGGACTGCTTTCTGCCTTTAAGAATCCAAGACATGGGGCCCCTTGGGGAAGTATATCCTGCTATTAGAAATGAGTGGGGTCACTGCCTCCCTGACCCGTGAGCTTCGAGCAATGCAGTTACGGAATGTTACTTGTAACGAAATACCTCAGACGTACAGAAAAACAGAGACCAATGTAACACTCAGATACCCGGCAGTCAGGCTTAAGAAATGCTGACGTTTTCCTGTTTGCTGTGTTTGTTTCATATGTTAAAAGTCATTTATATTTTTGTTTTAAAGATCTAAGACATCACAGACATAGTTGACGTCCCTCTTGTCCCCCTCTCCTTCCCATTCTTGTCTGTCTCGCCCCATAGTAATTCTATTCTGAGATTGGTGTGTTTCCTTTCAATTCATGTGTTTATACTTCACTACATAATTATGTATCCATAAATGGTAACATGCTATACTTGGCCTTTTTCAGCTTGCCTTTTTTTACTCAACATTTGTTTTTAAGAGTTGTCTGGATGGGAGCTTGTAGATCTGGTTGATGTTAAGCCCTGTGTGTATACACTGCAGTTTATTTATGTTTCTAGGGGCGGAATTGTTGGGTTTTAAGGGATATGTAGCTTTCCAGCTTTCTTGGATTTTGCCAAATTCTTCTTTACCAGGCTTGTTAAGAAAATATATTTTTTATTGATTTCAGAGAGGGAGGGAAGGCAGAGAGAGAGAGAGAAACATCAGTGATGAGAGAATCATTGATCGGTTGCCTCCTGCAGGCCCCTCACAGGGGATCGAGCCTGTCACCTGGGCATGTGCCCTTGATGGGAATTGAACCCAGGACCCTTTAGTCTGCAGACCTCTCTATCCACTGAGCCAAACCAGCTAGGACACCAGGATTTTATTTTTTTTAGTTTTTGTTTCCCCAAGTCCTCACAAACACTGGGTGTTACAGCTGTTAAGTGTACCTGTGCGTGTCCTGTGGTCTTCAGCATTGCGCTGATCACCAGTGCTGCTGAGGGCCTCTGTTCATGTTAATTGGTTATGGAGGTTTCTCTCCTTATGCCTTTTTGCAAACTAACAATAGGAGGAAACCCTAATGAGACTGAAGGAAGGAGGTGGAGCTTATGGCAAATTTGTGGCATTAGGTGGCCAAGCTAATGATATAAATAAACGTGTGAGTGTGAGTGTGTGTGTGTCTGTGTGTGTGTGTAGACGGGGATAAGTTTTAGAAGTATCCCGCTGGTGCAAGGAGATGGGGCCTTTATGATGATCGGTACCAGCCTGGTGCATGGTACCCAGCACGTAGTGGATGCTCGAGAAATCAACATTTTTCCATTGGGCACCGCGAGGGCCAAGCTGTGCCTCTAACTCGCTGACCTGAGGGAGGCTTTGAGGAAACATGAGAAGACAGGAGACAGGAAAGGGAGGCATCACCTGCCACACGAGGCCGGGCATGTGCAAGGACTTGTACAGATTTACCTGATTTTCCTCCCAAGCAGTCATCAGATAGGTATCTCCCCCATTTTGCAGGGGAGGAATCAGGCTGTCTGTGAGTAAGGGGCCCGTCTAGGGCCACGCAATTGGGCGTTGGAACTGTTTGAACCCACTTGTCTGATTCCAAGCCCAGTACAGTTTTGCCTGGCCAAGGACACGTGGGAAGGAGGAATGAAAGAAGGGAGTGGGAAGGGGGAGAGAGGAGAGAGGCCTTCTTGATGCCTCAGCAGGGACCTCCGCTGGGACACTTAAGTGGCCACGCTAATGACATGAACGTGTCTTTCCCCCAGTACATACACCCCGCAGACGCCGTGAAACTGGGCCAGGCCGAACTTGTTGTGATTGATGAAGCTGCCGCCATCCCCCTCCCGCTGGTGAAAAGCCTCCTGGGCCCCTACCTTGTGTTCATGGCATCCACCATCAACGGGTAAGGCACCTTGGGGTGTGGCCAGCGCTCTTGTTGTAGGTTCTTGCGCATTAGTGGCCTGTAACGAATGTGGCCGGGGTGGGTAAGTCTGTTCCCAAAGGCAGAGTCTTTGGGGCTGCTTCAGCCTCCTAGGCCTCTTGCAAATGGGAGCTGACCTCTTAGTAATCAGCAGTAGCTCACCACTGGCCCGGCATGAAAGGGGCTACACAAGTCTGAAAAACTCGGGTGCGAGTGTCTCTTCCTGTCCATAGGTCTGATCAAGTTGTTAGGAGTATATGGATGGCAATACCAATGCCTTAGACCTTAGAATCGTATCAGAACGTGGTATTAAAGTCACTACAATTAGCATAAGCCAGTGGGCTTCTCATGGCTCAGAAAATTTTTTTTAAAATTTTGAAATATGTAGCTCACATTTGCTATATTTAGGGAAATTTAGGGAAATGTAGGGAAAACAGATAGGCAAAAAGAAAAGTCACCAGTGATGCCTTCTTATAGCGGTAGCGTCTGTTAGAATTTTGGTGTATATTTTCTGTGCATTTATTTTACCTTTTCATTTGAGCAAGAACATAAACATAGTTTATCTGTTGTTTTTAATTTGCTTTTTTCCATAACTATGACATTTTCCAGGTCAGTAAATACATAACTTTAATATTGGAAATATTTTGATATGTTAGTCACATCTTTTTTTATTTTATTTTTTTATTTTATTGATTTTGTACAGAGAGGAAGGGAGAGAGATAGAGAGTTAGAAACATCGATGAGAGAGAGTTATCGATCAGCTGCCTCTTGCACACCCCCTACTGGGGATAAGCCTGCAACCAAGGTACATGCCCTTGACTGGAATCGAACCCAGGACCTTTCAGTCCCCAAGCCGACGCTCTATCCATTGAGCCAAACCGGTTTCGGCTGTAAGTCACATCTTGCAAAGATAATTCTATTATAGATTTATTATTGTGATTGCTTTACTTACATTGAAAATCTTTAAATAAAGTGGACTTTACTTTTTTTGATAACAGCTTTGCTGAGATATAATTTGCATACCATACAATTTACCCATTTAAAGTGTATAATTCAGTTGTTTTTTAGTGTATTCACAGAGTTGTGCAGTCATTACCAGTCAGTGTTGGAATATTTTCATTAGCCCAGAGAGAAACTCCATGCCCTATAGCTGTCAACCTCCAACCCTCCCCACCCCTTCCCCAGCCCTAGGGAACCACAAATCTACTTTTTGTCTCTGTAGATTTACCTGTTCTGGACATGGCTTATAAACGGCATCATACAATCTGTGGTTTTTGTGACTGGCTTCTTTCACTTAGCGTAATGCTTTAAGGTTCATCTGTGTGCTTTGTGTCAGTATTTCATTCCTTTTTACGGCCAAATCATATTCCATTGTGTTTACAAACATGTTGCTTTTCCATTCCTCTGTTGATGGACACTGGGGCTGTTTCTGTGAAGAATAATGCTGCTCTGAACGTCAGTGTGCAGGTTTCTGTGTGGACGTGTTTTCAGTTTTCCTGGGCACCTACCTCAGGGCTGGAGTTACTGAGTAAAATGGGAACTTTCTGTTTAACCATTTGAGGGACTGTCAGACTGTTTTCCAAAGCAGCTGTACCATGTTACACTCTCACCAGCAGTGTATGAAGGTTCCAGTTTTTCTATATCCTTGCCAGCACCTGTCATACGTCTTTTTGACTATCGCCATCTCAGTGAGTGCGCGGAGACATCTTATATAGGGTCCTCGGTGCATTTCCTGTGGCTGGTGATATGGGGCATCTCAGGTGCTTGTTAGCCATTTGGATCTCAGAATAAATAGTTGTTCAGGTCCTCTGCTCATTTCTAGTGGGCTGTGTTTTTTAGCCGAGTTGTAAGGGTTTCTTATACTAGTATAGTCTAGACACAAGCCCTTCATCAGATATACAGAATTTTTCTTCCATTCTGTGTTTTTTGTTTTTTGTTTTTTTTTTTGTCACTTTCTTTATAATGTCCTTAGAAGCACAAAAGTTTTTTAGTTTTGTTGTGTTTATTCTTGTTTTTGTTTTTAAACAAGTTAAAGGGAATTCTTTTAAGGAAGTTTTGCTGTGTGGAGTGGAGAGGGTGAATAAAATACTTCACAATTCTGATTTTTTTTTTTTTATCATTCTTTAAAAGTAGTATTTGAGTAAGAAGAAGTATACGCATACTTTCTCTTACTCAAATATAAACATATTTCCTCTTACTCAAATACTACTTTTAAGCATTATAATAACAAGTACTACAAACGTAATATAAAAGAAAGCCTGCTAAGCAGTCTGTCCTCTGGTCACTTGTGCTTTCGACCAAAGACAAGGAAGAAATAGGACTGAAAAGTGCTGGTTCGCTGATCAGATTATAGCTGATTTCCCTTCCCACCCCCAATTCTTTCCTAGTTGTTTTATGTCACCTTTTCAGTAAAAGTAGTAATTGGAAGAATTACTTGGGTGGTGGGTTTGTTGAATCTTGATTTTTCCAAACTGGATGTTCTCTGTTCGTTCCTTCAAGCTGTTGCTTCTAACAGCAGCTCCGAGTAATTAACCATTTAACAGTCTTTTGGTTTCATTATAGGCTTTGCTCACATAGCTTTTCAGTCCTTATTTAGTCCGTAGCACCGTCCTGTGTGGTGTATGGAATAGTCCCCTTGTGAGGACGTGGTTAACAGAGGTTGAGTTCCCTGCCCAGAGTACTAAGTAGACGTGCAGGACTGGAGCCCAGGGTGGCTCCGGGCGAGCCACTGTGCCCCTGCCTCCTTGGGCGCCTGTGCTGTCCAGGAAGTTCAGGGGTGAGCAGGGCCATCCTTGGGGAGCAGGAGTCTGCTGTTGCCGCAGGATGAGGAAAGGGGTTCTTGTTCCCCCTAGAGAAGGGATTTGGGACTCATGCCTGATGGCCTTTGCTTTTGCTCCTAGCTATGAGGGCACTGGTCGGTCACTGTCCCTCAAGCTAATCCAGCAGCTCCGGCAGCAGAGTGCCCAGAGCCAGATCAGCACCACGGCTGAGAACAAGACCACCACCACGGCCAGGCTGGCCTCAGGTACCTGCAGCTCGAATGCCCTGCAGCACACAGTAGCAGGTCCTTTTCATTCTCGCTGGGCCCTTCCCCTCGTGACGTCATGGGTGGTACCAAACCCTCCCATCGTCAGGCTCACTCTCTAAGGCTGGAGTTGCTTTTCTCCATGGCGTGGCCAGCCAGTGACCAGAGGGGAGCCTGGCGGGCCTTCTGGGGGCTGGGCCCTTGTTTGTCCCCATCTCGGGGCGTGGCTGCATTGACTTAGCGAGAGCCTTTGGGACTACGGCAAGCTGCACATCCGCCAGAAAAGCTTCGAACCGCTCAGTTCACATTCTCCAGCCGTGTTTACGTGGGCGCTGTGACAAAGATAAAGTAGGGCATTTGCTCCTCTCTTTTAGACAAAGCGCATGTAATAATTGTTTCTCACTGTGTGTGTTTTTCGGGGAGCAGCGCGAACGCTGCATGAGGTTTCTCTGCAGGAGTCGATCCGATACGCCCCTGGGGACGCGGTGGAGAAGTGGCTGAACGACCTGCTGTGCCTGGACTGCCTCAACATCACCCGGATCGTGTCGGGCTGCCCCTTGCCGGAAGCCTGCGAGCTGTATCCTCCCGGGGCCCTGTGCCCTGCGAAGGGGAGGGGGCGATGAGAGGCGACCCGGGTTTCGGCCCTTTGTTTTATGGCTGTTGCTCTGGGGAACACTCACTTTCCCGCTTTCCTTCCCGAATGTGTTTCTGCTCAGGACACGGGGTTCCTCTTTCCTAGTGACCCTCGGAAGTGGGATGACCAGTTTAGGGGTCTCTTTGCTTTGTTTTTGTGCTTAACTCCAGTCCCAGCTACTACGTTAACAGAGACACCCTCTTCTGCTACCACAAGGCCTCCGAGGTTTTCCTGCAGCGGCTGATGGCCCTCTATGTGGCTTCTCACTACAAGGTAGCTGCAGCCAGCCCCTGGGTGAACTTTCGTCCCGACAGTCCCCTCTTACCCAGTGGAGTGGCTCCAGTGACCATTCCACCGGACTGAACTGTCCTGACCGCGGCAAGGGCCGGTGACCTTGCTGGAGGGTTGCATCGCCCACTGTTGTTGAACTGGAGAGGCGGGAAGCATTCTGGTTCTTGCCTGTCTGCTAAGCTGACAGGCTCAGAGGACAGTCTTGGTATACCTCTAGGCTATTTTTAAGGAGCAGCCAGTGTGAAGCTGGGATGTTTGAATGTCATACAAACTGAAGGGCACATCGGAAAGGATGTTTTTTGAGTGTGTAGGTGTGTAGGTGGTGTTAGGAGTGTTCACAGGCTCTCTCAGCTGAGAAATGGATAGTGCCATCTAAGCAGTTCTTCGTCTGCCTGCAGCCTCAGCACTTGTGGGTGGAGACAGCAAACACTGGAGACGGAGTCCCACTTGGGTCATTTCCAAGGCTCTCGGAGGGCACTGTGCTGGGTTTGGCTGGTCCCTGGCTTAGGGAAGGTCGTAAAGGACAAGCAGAGGAGCGGTTCTCCCTGACCTGTGTTTTGCCCACAGAACTCCCCCAACGATCTCCAGATGCTCTCCGATGCGCCTGCTCACCATCTCTTCTGCCTCCTGCCCCCCGTGCCCCCCACCCAGAACGCCCTTCCTGAGGTGCTTGCCGTCATCCAGGTACAGAAACGGAGGTGTCCTGGGGCACTGAATTTGGGAACCACTTAGGTGTTGAGGGTTAGTGGCTCAGTAACCGCGGTGGAAGCTGTTGATTGCCGGATGTATGAGGCAGGCGATGAGGGTGCATGGAAAGAAAGCACCACGGACAGAACCATAGGCCCCGTGGCTCATGGGCGGGTGGAAGTCAGCATTGGCTCCTCCTAGGACAGACTTGTTTGTTTTCCTCCTTCGTTACAAAAGCAGTACATGGCACTTACAGAATTAGGAGACAGGTTGGGGGAAATTTTTTTTTTATTTAAAATATTTTATTGATTTTTTACAGAGAGGAAGGGAGAGAGATAGAGAGCCAGAAATGTTGGTGAGAGAGAAACATCAACCAGCCGCCTCTTGCAGCCAACGTACATGCCCTTGACCGGAATCGAACTCAGGACCTTTCAGTCCGCAGACCGATGCTCTACCACTGAGCCAAACTGGTTTCGGCAAGGAAAATGGTGTTTTTAATGCTTGGCTGTGTTTATGCATTTCTATATTATTTTTCCTGTTCATAAACATGGGATCATAGTGCTTGGTAATCTGCCTTTTTTTTTTTTTTTTGCAATGTGTCAAGTATTTATAATTGGTATGCTTTTTAAAAAAAATAAATTTTCTTTTTTTTTTAAAAGGTATTTTATTGATTTTTTTTTTACAGAGAGGAAGGGAGAGGGATAGAATTAGAAACATCAATGAGAGAGAAACATCGATCAGCTGCACGCCCCCTATGGGATGTGTCTGCAACCTAGGTGCATGCCCTTGACCGGAATTGAACCAGGGACTCTTCAGTCCACAAGCCAATGCTCTATTCACTGAGCCACGCCAGCTTCGGCTGGTATACTTTTTAAAGGCTGCATTGTATTTCATTATATGCACGTGCCATGTTGTGTTTGACCATCCCCCTGCCAGTACTTGAGTCACGGTGAATTTGCACTCTTCGGTGCAGAGCTGAGTGAGCTGTGCCTCAGTGGGTGTGGGCACATGCATGCCAGGAGGATGTCAGCACTCTGCCTGGTCAGTGACGGTGTCAAGCACCCACCGGTGTGGTGATGAAGCGTCCATTGGAAATGGATGAGTCGGTTACAGGGTCAAACCTGACCTGGAGTGGGAACAGCTGGCCTCGTCAGATGCCGTTCTGTGTGTGGGCTGTGGGCTGGGCCGGCCCTCCTGTCTGCACTGCCCGCTTGCCCCGCAGGTGTGCCTGGAGGGAGAGATTTCTCGCCAGTCCATCCTGAACAGCCTGTCTCGAGGCAAGAAGGCTTCGGGGGACCTGATTCCGTGGACGGTGTCAGAACAGGTGATGCGCTCCCCCGGCCTGTCGGTGGGAGCGAAGCCGGCCCTGTCCGAGGGTGTGTTGTGTCGCTAAGTTGCTGGCTCGTGTCTCCCACACAGTTCCAGGATCCGGACTTCGGCGGCCTTTCCGGTGGAAGGGTGGTCCGCATTGCCGTTCACCCGGATTACCAAGGGGTAGGTGACCCGTCCTCCGTCCTCTCACCGCTGTGCTGCGGGCTTGCTAGGGCAGGTGCACGCGGCTGTGTGACCGGGAAGCGGGTTGAGGAGCACGCAGTCAGGCTCTCCTCTGCTGTGGAGTGCGGGGGCCGGGGGCGGACGGACAGGATGATTGTACGGGCTCGCTCTTCTTTGTTGTGAGGACAGGGGACCTGAGAACCAGATCTTTTTGTAATCGCCTCCTGTCTCTTAGAAATCCCCATTGAGGCATTAGCTGGAGAGACATCAGGTTTGGGCTTGTTGATCTGTGGACCAGAAATCCCAGCCAGCCTTCCTCACGCTCAGAGGGGCGATGGGCTAGAGACTAGCGGTCGCCAGCCACTGATCCGCAGACCGCTGGTGGTCCGTGAGGTCCAAAAGGTTGGCGAAGGCTGGACTGGAACATCTCTTTCTTGGCCGTTCCCCCCGTGCTCGCTCACAGATGGGCTACGGCAGCCGCGCTCTGCAGCTGCTGCAGATGTACTACGAAGGCCGATTCCCTTGTCTGGAGGAGAAGGTCGTTGAGACGGCGCAAGAAATCCACACCGTCAGCAGCGAGGTAAGCAGCTCTGGCTGAACGGGTTCCTGGAGGACCCTCCCTGGTCCTCGTCAGTGGCCTGGGCCCTGTGCACAGTAGCAGGTACAGAGAGCTTTGGAGAAGTTGCTGCTTGCTGGAGCCTAACAGTTGAGATCTTCAGATTAGCATCATTAGCATCAGCTGGAAACTTGTTAAAAATGCAAGTTCTGGAGTCAGATGCCCGGGCGAGGCCCAGTAACGTGGTCTTAACAAGCTCCCAGGTGATGCTGGTGCAGGTTCAGCTTCAAACCACCCTTCCCGGTCTCAGCCCTGGGCCCGGCCTCGGATCTGTCCTTCTTGGGGAGCGTGTTTAACATGGAACTGGGATGCTCTCTGCACACGCGTTTGAATTCAGTGTGCCCTTGGGGGTGTGGGGAAGGGGTTATATTTATGGTCAGGCTCAGAGGCTAGTCACTTACCTTCAGCCCCCACATCCGGGACCCATCCCTGTCTGTCTGGGAACCTGCTGGCGTGTCTAGACCGAGTGGCTCTTCTGCCTGCTGAGCAGTTCATGCTTACAGGGGTCGGTGTGCCCAGGAGCGAGCCCCAGACTCACTGGTGCTCCTAGAGTTTGAGAACCTTGGGAAGGAACCAGGCAGCCTGTCCTGCTGTTGCTGCTCAGTCTGGGCCCGGAGTGCAGTGCTCGGGAGGTCACTGACCTGGCTTCCCCTGCCGGTGGGCTATTCCCCCGCCTCCAGGCCGTCAGCTTGTTGGAAGAGGTCGTCACCCCCCGGAAGGACCTGCCTCCCTTGCTGCTCAAACTGAATGAGAGGCCCGCCGAGCGCCTGGATTACCTGGGTGTGTCCTATGGCTTGACCCCCAGGCTCCTCAAGTAAGGGTTTGCCTGTCTCATTCCCGGCGCAGCCTCCCATTCCCCCCACCCCCCCTTGGAATCTGAGAATGAAGTTCTGGGGCTGTGCACCTGGGTGTTTGTTCGATGTTGTTGACTCCCTGCCCTCCCGGCCCTTCCCAGCTTGTTCTGTCAGCTGCTCCTGGAGGGCGCACAGTGACCTGCTCTCTTGGCTTCTTTGCAGGTTCTGGAAGCGAGCGGGCTTCGTTCCGGTTTATCTGAGACAGACCCCGGTGAGTGGGCACCTAGCAGAGCGGGGTGTGGGTTTGTGGTTACAGTGGGGACAGGTCTGTCCTTGCAGAGCCCTGTGCCCCACTGGGTGCCGAGCAGGTGCCCCCGCCTTGAGGGCCAGAGCAGCCGCCCTCCCTGACAGGCACTGCGCTGCTCCCCTGTGCTGGGTGACATCGCCGAGGCCCTCTGCACTCGCTCAGTGCGCTCTGGAAGCCTGTAACCTGGGCCTCCTGGCTTTCTTTAAAAAGAGAAAAGTAGTTTTAGGGAAGAGTTCATGGCGGAGCCATGGAAGTGTGTGTGTGTGTGTGTGTGTGTGTGTGTGTGTGTGTGTGGAGTGTGTGACTCAACTACCCAGCCAGGGCCCTGACAAGGTAACTTTTCTCTGAATATTTCTGAGGGGTGGTTGGTTGAATCTGAAGGTGATATGGAGGGCCGTGGTGCTTTTGTTCAGAGAATAAGTAATGACAGCTATGAAGGTAGGGACTGAGGGTGGAGAGAAGAGGGTGAGAGCTTGCAGTCCTCAGTGTTTAGAGCAGTGGTCGGCAAACTCATTAGTCAACAGAGCCAAATATCTACAGTGCAGCGATTGAAATTTCTTTTGAGAGCCACATTTTTTAAACTTAAACTTCTAACGCCACTTCTTCAAAATAGACTCACTCGCCCAGGCCGTGGTATTTTGTGGAAGAGCCACACTCAAGGGGCTTGCGAGTCGCAGTTTGCCGACCACGGGTTTAGAGGAATGAGGAGCAGCCGGGGAAACCAAAGGAGCCACCTTGGTCCTGGGGAGAGAGTCGGGGTTTGGTGTCACAGGCCGAGGTTAGCCAGTGCCTCAGGAAGGGGAGTCAGGAGCGGTGGCCACCTCATCCTTCCCAAGGGGGAAGGTAGGGAGTGTCGAAGGTGTTGGCTGCTGGTTGACCTGGGGTGGGAAGAAGGACGTTCTTTTCTGATTGCCTCAGTCTTCTCAGTGAGAGGAGGCCATCGGCAAAGAGGAAAGGGTGCTGGAGGCTTGATTTTGGAGAGTGCAAAGCCAGTATGCCAGGGCAGTGCCTATTTGAGAGGCTGAGCTGGGATATACTCTTAGAGTCGACTACATGGATCATTGAGCTCAGTGTGGCCTCAGCGTGGTCTTGTGCTGTGTGCTGCCATCGTGACTGGATGCTGGCGTTTTGTTACCCGAATGTTGAGATCCGTTAGATATTTTTACGGTCTGGGCTTTGCTCTGTAGTAAATGGAACGACCTGTGGTCACCGTGTTAGCATCTAACGGAGTTGCCAGCGTGGAAACCCTGGGTCTCACACACCAAGTTTGCTGTAAGACACTGAAACACGGTGATTGGCTCTGTGTGGTTGGAGAGAATGGGAGGTGAGGGGACAGTCTGAGACGCACAACAAAGAGTGCAGAGCCAGTATGCCAGGGCAGTGCCCATTTGAGAGGCTGAGCTGGAGTTGAAGCTGTGATAACTGCGACCATAATCTACCTGGTGTGAGCTGAGGCTGACTTCCGGGGGCCAGGGCAGAGGTCGTGCTCTGGAGATCTGAGCAGCCCTGCTCTGTTGCCATGGCGCCTGCTGGGCGGTGTGGGAAATGATGCCACATGAGAATGGAAGCGAGCGCACTTCTGGGAGCACCATGCCGTTCCCTCCGAGATCTTACCTTATAACAGTGACAGCGTTCAGAGGGGTTCTTGGTGCCAGTTAGGAATCTGTATTTTCCAAAGAACGACCTGACGGGGGAACACTCGTGCGTCATGCTGAAGACGCTGGCCGAGGAGAGCGAGGCTGAGCAGGGGGCCTGGCTGGCAGCCTTTTGGAAAGGTGCGTCTGAGTGGAAGGGAGACGGCGGGGTGATGGGGGCGGGGGGAATGGGGGCTTCTGGACCTCTGACTGGTTGCACCCACAGATTTCCGCAGGCGCTTCCTAGCTCTGCTGTCCTACCAGTTCAGCACCTTCGCTCCTCCCCTGGCTCTGAACATCATTCAGAACAGGAACATCGGGAAGCCCTCGCCGCCAGGTGAGCTGAACAGGACGGCGCGGGGCTAGGCGTGGGCTGTGTGGGAGGAGGATGTGGTGGTCCCAGGAGAGGGAGGGTCTGGGGATGGAGGCACCGGCTCTAGGCCTGCATCTGCTGCCCACCCTGCTCAGCTGCCCTCTTCTGCCGTGGGCACCGTCACCCGTGGGAGCTGTGCACAAGACAGGACTTGGGGTGTGATCTGACTTCAGAGGTGTCAGATAAGGCTTTTCAGCTATGGGTCTCGGAACCCGACTTAAACCCTGAGCAACAGGAAACCGCTCGGTGCTGAGGTGTGTCCTCACATGTGGAGCTGTCGGAGGAGAAGCACAGGGAGGTGTGCTGGGGATGACAAATCCTGTTGGAATATTTAAAATACCAGAAAATAGGAAGGATCACATTAACACCTGTGGGCTTTTTTGGCACGTTGTGTGTGTGTGTGTGTGTGTGTGTGTGTGTGTTCTTTTTTTTTTTTTAATATATTTTATTGGTTTCTTAGAGGAAGGGAGAGGGAGAGAGAGTTAGAAACACCGATGAGAGAGAAACATCGATCAGCTGCCTCCTGCACACCCCCCACTGGGGGATGTGCCTGCAACCAAGGTACATGCCCTTGACCGGAATTGAACCTGGGACCCTTGAGTCCGGAGACCGATCTCTATCCACTGAGTCAAACCGGTTAGAGCATGTGCATGTTGTTGTGCCATTTCTGTTTTGAAAAAGCTGCTTCTCGAGCTGGACACGCTCTGCGAGGCGGGGTCCTGGGAAGTGACAAGTGGGAAAGGGTGTTAGATCCTCTCCCCTGGGGCCCCGACCTTCCCTTGACCTGCTGTTGGCTGGAGCCCTGTGTGAGGGCCCCACGCCAGCGGTCCCTTCCCTGCGCGGCCCAGGGAAGGGTCAGGCTGCCTGGGGCGGTCGGCATGGTACAAGGGGCGGGGGCGGCACTCCCCGGAGGCCGGTCTCCCGATCTGCTCTGGCTGAGGCCAGCGGGGAGCAGCGTTGGGGTGCCCCGGGGCTGCCTGACCCGCCTGGCTCCTGCTCCTGCAGCCCTGCGCCGGGAGGAGCTGGAGGCGCTCTTCCTGCCCTACGACCTGAAGAGGCTGGAGATGTATTCTCGGAACATGGTGGACTATCACCTCATCATGGACATGATCCCCGCCATCTCCCGGATGTATTTCCTGAACCAGCTGGGGGACCTGGCCCTGTCCGCCGCCCAGTCGGTAGGTTACCTGCTGCCGTGTGCTGGTCTGGAGCAGTTCGCATGCGGGCTGTCCAGATGAATGGTTTGACGTAATTTTGTGCATTTAACTTCTCGAGGTTCTGATAGGGGCTGGGTGGTGGTCTCATGCCCTTGTGGTACAGGTGGGAACCCTGAGGCTGTGAGTCCTGAGCCCGGCCACGCAGGTAGCAAGGAGGAGCTGCTTTCGAGCCCACATCCCCTGCCCTGTTGCCTTCGCTCGCTCTACCTCAGCAGAGGCTGGGAGCACCCATACTTCTCAGCGTAGCTGTGAAGCAGTGTTTTTTAGGATAAGTCAGTTTGGGGGTTTTAGGAGAGGGAGTACTTGTCAGTAGTTTCAATAACGGGATGAAACAAGATTTCAGAATCACTGTGGTGGTTGATCGCTGTGGTCAAGGGAGAGAGCCCTGTCTCTGCTTTGATGGGCCAGGGCCTGCCCCTCGGCCACTCCGGGACTCTCCATCCTGCAGGCTCTCCTCCTGGGGGTCGGCCTGCAGCACAAGTCAGTGGACCAGCTGGAGAAGGAGATCGAGCTGCCCGCCGGCCAGCTGATGGGGCTTTTCAACCGGATCATCCGCAAAGTCGTCAAGGTGCCTTGGCCGAGGGCGGGGCTTTAGTCCATTTGGAATAATGCAATAACCTGCTCCCTGCCCCAAGAGGAATAGATTTTAACATTTGGCCACATTTGCTGCAGATTGTCACACACACAGACACACACACACACACACACACACACCCTGAAGAACCGGGGCTGCAGCCCTATCTGCAGTGCTCTCTCCAGAGGGGCCACTGCTGGGGACTGGGATCTGCAGTCCGTGTTTTCAGACTCCTTTTACCGTGAACACACGCACTCCTCAGCTGTCTAGCTTGTGCCCAGGACGGGGTTCCTGCTGCTGCTGCTTCATCTCTGCTTTCTGGCCGTTGCTTTGCAGCTATTTAACGAGGTGCAGGAGAAGGCCATTGAGGAGCAGATGGTGGCCGTGAAGGACGTGGTCATGGAGCCCACGATGAAGACCCTGAGTGATGACCTGGTATGCCGCCCCCGAAGGCCTTGCCGGGTGCCGAGGGGGCCCCTGTCCCTTTTAGCGAGAGTCCTCGGCGCTCACTGCGCCTGGTGGTGTTGATCTTAGGTGTGGGCGACCTTCCCTCCCAGCGTGTCCCTGCCCTGGGTGTGCCGAGCACCGGGCCTGCTCTGCCTCCCACTGAGGGATGTGTGCGCGCACACAGTCCAGCTGCTGCCGTGAGCTCGTTGGCCCTTGTAGGCTTTTCAGATGCACCCTGTGCATTCATGTACATTCAGTGGAGGAGTGGGAGGTGTCTGCTCATAGGGGTGATATTCTACCATTTGTCCCCTGCTTGACTCTGACCTGCTCTGTCTCCGGGCTCTTGCCCGCAGGATGAAGCAGCAAAGGAATTCCAGGAGAAACACAAGAAGGAAGTGGGGAAGCTGAAGGACATGGACCTGTCTCAGTAAGGCCCCTCGGCTGCCCGGAGGCAGCGAAGGCTGCGCTTTGGCTTCTGGCGCCCGGAGAACCTGCCCGCAGGCCTGTTCCTCATCCGGGCCCGGAGCCCTGGAGGCTGTGTTCATGGGGTCACCGTTAGCAGCACTAAGAGCTAACACCTCCTCCTCCACCGTTTGCTGTGCCTCTGGCCTTAGTCCTGTAGTTGCTGGGTCATGGCTGATGGTGACTGTTGGACACGGGAGATGGGGAGGTCCCTGGGCAGGTTCAGGCTCTGTCGTTAGCTGTGCAATATCAAAACCTCGACTTTCCAGGACTGCTAGCTTCCCCAGAGGTGGGCGAGGTGGGGCGAGGCGGGAAAGGCACAGTCCCAGGGTTGGCGGCACGTTTGGAGGTGAGAGTGAGCAAGAAGTGGTGGGGTGACAGGAGGCTTCTCTGGTGGGCAGTTAATCAGAGTCGGGGAGAAGTTGGGTGTTGCCTTCAGTGCAGGACCGTCCTGTCACAGCCCCGTCTGTGGCTACAGACCTCCGCCCCCTGCAGTGCCTGTCCTGTGGGCCTGGCTCAGGTCTCGGGCCTCTGCGTGCTGGCTCCCTGCTGCTCAGCGCTGATGCAGCTCGGCCTGGCTTTGGGGCAGGATGTGCTGATAGGAATGCTGTCACTATCCCGCTTTAAGCATTCCCCGTTTCTTTTGAGCCAGCTCTGATATTTTTTCTACTTTTTAGGTACATAATCCGTGGGGATGATGAAGAGTGGAATGAGGTCTTAAACAAGGCTGGGCAGAATGCTTCGATCGTCAGCCTGAAAAGGTGGGGCCTCCCTCTGGACAGACACATTCTGGCTTCTGTGCGTCTCTAGTAACATTCATTAGGAGAGAGGCGGGAACAAACTGAGAGAGATGTCACGGTTCTTCCCTCTGCGGTGGCGGCTTTGGTGGCACGCTGCTGGGCATGTGACAGGCCTGCGAGAATGTCCGTGTCTGACTGGGCGTCTCACGCTGTTTCAGGTGATGGGACCCCTTTTCGGACCCAGCGAAGCCGTCTTGACAGGTGTGAGGCCCGTGCACCTTTCGTTCTTTCTCTCACTGCTGTTCTTTCCCCTCCAGTGACAAGAAAAGGAAATTGGAAGGGAAACAAGAACCCAAGCAGAACAAAAAGTTGAAGAACAGAGATACGAAGCACAAAAAAGACATGAAACTGAAGCGGAAGAAATAGTGAAGAGAAGCGTGGGCCTCAGCAGCTGACTCGGAAGGAGACACCCTGACTCTCCGAACCGACTCTGCCTGGCCTGGGCCGTGGCCCCGTGGAAGGCAGCGCGAGCCCGTCAGCCCGGAGGCCGGCCTGGACTCCCTGTGCGCGTGAGCGTGGCCTTAAGCACTCGCCGCTGAGCCGCCTGCGGGGACCTCGCCGGGGGCCAGCCTCTGGCCCTGCCGGGTCTGTCTCCTCCCCAGCCTGGCCTTCCTTTCCCATAAGTCCAAGTTTTGTGTTGGGTCCAGCTTTTCCCCCTTCCCACGTGTGGGAAGCCACACTGGCTCATGTCCCTCCTCAGGTGCTGAGTGCGCTGTGTGGTGATGCCCGGGAGGCTGCTGCCCATCGCGGGGCCTCGCCGTGGGCTTGTCCCGGCCCCTGGCCTGGGCAGTGGGAACGGTGCCATGGACGTGGGGTGTGCTGCCACCCTTCGCTCCTGGCTCCGCGGCGGCCGCCCAGCGCCCAGAGGAGCCCGCCCTCCTAGCTCAGGAAGGATATGGCTTTCGAGTCCCCAAACTTTCTGCTTCATCCATTTGGGAAAAAACTTTGGGAAAGACCCCTTTCCCAGCAAGGATGAGGGACAGAGGGTCTATTTTTAATAAATAACATCTAGAAAGATGCCTGCCGCCCGTGGGTACTCACTGGCCCCACGCAGGGGGACATGCGTCTGGCCCTGTTGGCTCTGTGGGTCTTGGCTGCCGAGGAGACCAGAGAGGGTGTTGAAATCGAGGTGAGGTTGGGCAGGGCGGCCAGGGTCACATCCCAGGAGCCTGGGGCAGGTTGCTGCCCTGGCCACGCTCGCGGGGTCACTCATGAGCCTGGGGGCCAACTGGCTGTGCCCTCCCAGCTCCTGTCTGGTGGTTTGGTCCTTCCCTTTGTCAGGACAAATGTGGTGGCTTCACACATACTTTGGTATGTTCGATGGTGTCTACTTTCCGGTCCCAGATCAGGTACTGTGTTACTGAAACGACCCCGAGGGTCCTCTGTAGGGCTGGTCCTTATCCATGTCGCCCAGGCAGTCAGCTCAGTGGTGGTGTGGTCCGATCCGCTTTCTCCTGCCACGTGCGCCGGGCGATGGATGGCAGCCTGTGGTCTGATCTCCTTTCTGCTGCCGGGCGCGAGGTGACAGCAGCCTGTGTGGCTGGCTCCCTGTGGCCGAATCCATCTCCAGCTTCTACTCTGTTCTCATGTTTACCTGGAAAACGCATGTGCCTTGTTTACTCATGTTCCTTGTTTACTCGTAAATTTAGGCTGGTCTTTTGTGAGTCAAAATAGATTCTTTCCTCAGCCCTGACATGTAACCGGGTCCTAGACGGCTAACACACGAAGGGGAGCCTCTGGGTCCAAGAGATTAGACACGCGCCCCGGGGACTCCCGGCCACAGGAAGACCCTGGCCTGTCTCCAGAGGCGAGGGGCCTTCTGTCTCCCGGCTCGGCAGCTTCCTGCAGGAGTGTGCTGAGAGGAGAGATGAAAGGAATTTCTGACCCGTTTTTCTCAGAGTGCCTGAGCCTGCCTTTCAAAGAGGATCTTCTTGGGAGAGTGGCCAAAAGCAGGGTCAGTCCCAGATGGGCCGAGCGGGGCGTGTCCTCAGACTCCCCAGCCATGTGGCCACGTCCCCAGGTGTCTCTGCCGGCCCAGGTTCAGGGAGGCGCTCTGAAGCCGACCCCCTGCCTTTGACACTGCCTCTGCCCTGACCCTTCCTGTGGCCTCTCCCTGCTGTCTCGTCCACATCATTAAAACGGGAGCGGCCATGACAGCATGCGCTCAGGGCCGTGGTGCGGGAAAAGCCGAGAACGGTGCCTGGCAGACAGCAAGTGCTCGCCACGCCGGAGCTCTGTGGCCCGGAGCATTGGGAGCTGCAGTTACACCAGTGCTGGCGGCCAAATAGGACTGGCTTTGCCCTGCACCCACCACCGGAGCTAGGGGAGGAGCCCCTGGGGAGCACGGAGCATGCATTCAGTCAGACCGGCCGGCTGCGTGTCCTCCAGCAGCTCCACGTCTCCATGGCCTTCCCTTTTGCACACAGAACACAAGCGGACGTTTCGCCTGTTGTGCTCAGTCCTGGTCCTTTTATTTGCAAAACGAATGTTCTGAACAGGTCTCTGCCCTTCATGGCTGTGATCTTGGGGTCTCCTCCAGCCCTGAGAGCACGCCTCCCCCAGGTCTCGCCATCTGGCCCCCAGACAGTGACGTCTGTAAGGCTCACTGTCTCAGGAACTCGCACTTGTGAAATGAGCTGTCGCCAGGACGGGAAGGGGCTGAAGATGCCCCAACAAAGGAGATTCCTAAAGGGTCTGCATCCTCGGGAGGGGCCGGTGCTGGCCGGCTTCAGTGTCTCCACTGTTCATCTGGCCCGCAGTCCCCGGCGACAAAGGGGGCTGGGAGGCTGGGGGAGGGGAGGAAGTAAGTGACTGTCACCTTGGAAAAATGTGGACTCATTATCTGACACCATTACTCCAACCGCCAGCCCTGAGCCAGCCTCGGGCCTGGAGGAGGGGGTGGGGCTGGCATCCCCTCGGGCCCTCAGACCAGAGAGAAGGCGGTATGCTCATTCTATAAACAACTGGTTAGAGTTACAACGTATGGATTCTGCAGAGGGTGTGGGGCCAGAGAAAGGGAGTGCCTGAGGGGGCTGTGAGGAGAGTGCTCAGACTGAAGGGAAAAGGGAGGCTTGGGAGCAGGAGAGCAGGGCGGGCCCAGGTGGGGGAAGGCGATCTCTGTTGGCCTTGGGGGTCCTGGTTGCACTGGGGCCCCTGTCTTGGGAGAGGAGGCCCAGGCTCCAGCGCCGTAAGTGCAAGCTTATTGCCTGTGGGACGGCTGCAGTAGGACAAATCCCTCTGTAGAGGGAACAGACACCAAGCCTCTGGTTTCCCAGCTCCTGAGGAGGAGAACTCACTTTCCTCCCCCAGCCTGGTTGGCCCACAGCCTGGAGCTGCTGGAAGGTACCTGGCCCCACGCTCTGGAGCAGTGGCCCCGGGATAAGGTGAGGTGACCACCTGCATTTCCATTCCAGCCTCCTCATCCCTTGGGAAAAAGGTCTGATTTTCTCCCCTTATTACTGTGTTAAGTGCTGTCATAAGTGTGTATTTCTGCTACATGAAGGCTCAAAGGGCTCCTACCTTTGCTTTCACCTGCCCTTCCGTCCAAAAGAGAAGGAAATGCTGAGCCCCATCCAGGACCAGCCTCCTGGATCTTGCCTTAGGCTGGGTAGCTGCCTCAGGGCATCCCGTAAGGTGGGGAATTTGGGGGGAGGGTGCATGCAGACCCCTGAAGAGCAGCCCCTGCAGATGCGGAGGGCTGGGCCAGGGGCAACCTCCCTCACAGGGTCTCTGCCAGGAGGGTGGAGTCGTGCATGCACCTCTTCCCTCTGTCCCCCAGAGGGCGCCATGTGCCCATGCAGTGCCCTCTCCCCACCACTGCCAGGACCCAGGCTTGGCCTCCCACTGCCCCACCTGGGCCCCACCCGGCAAGGCTGGGAAAGGGGCCTTTTCTGATATGGACCCCAAGGAGGTCTTCATGTTGTCCCCCCAATTCCCACAGCCACTTGGTCAGTTTCCCAGTGACCTGAGCCATTTACTTTCCTCTACAGGCAGGCACCCCTGGACTTTGCACCTAAAACAAACTGGGTCTGGAAACCCTTGGGCCTGAGTCACCGGCTCACTGTCCTCCCTCCATTACCAGGTGGCTCAGCAGCTTCTGGAGGCAGCGGTCACCAAGGGACAGGTGCCCACATCCGACCAGACCAGGATGGAGAAGGCCTGCCCCCACCTCATTGGGCCCACAGGTTTGGACTATGCAAGAGTTTACAAGCAACTATTAGGACGACCCCAACAACAGCTCCCACACTGGGGCTAGGGGAGGGGTCTGGGCTCGGGAGGTCAGAAAAGCCCCTAAACCCTTGATAGGTGTTTTCCTCCTGTCATCAGGCCCTGGTCCCTCCAGGCAGACACCTTTTCTGTCCAGTCAGTGGCTCATAAGTGCTTAACAAACGGGACCCTTGTGTATTACCAGCTACTTCATTTGACAGAAGAAGGAAACTAAGGCCTAGCAAAGGAGGTACAGTAAAACCTCGACATAACGGACTGATTCAGGTGAGGGGGTGTCCCTTAAAGCCGGAAGCCTGTTACATAATAAAGTAGGTTTTCTGATCACGTGTTAAAAAATTGATATTAGTTGAGCTGTTGTTACTACATAGACATGTTTATATAATTATAATCATAGATGAAAAGTTCCGTTTCACAGAGGAGTTTCCTATCTGTATTCCTGCAATTTTAAATTTATACCGAATAGGTCTAGTTGGCGTGTGCTTTCACCGGGAAAATAGATGCTCCCGGCTGGGGCGTGGCTTAGTGCACGGGGCACAGTGGCCGGCACACGTTAAAACTGCCGCAAGTCAGCCACGGAACGGCAGAGCCAGTTACTGTAAGCGATGCGGTATAATCACATGCTAGTCGTTTGCCGAACATTGTTTCTAAGCGGCGACTCTTGGGTTTAAATATATGGACTATAGTTGTAGATGCGTAATGTTTGTGTCAGTGAGATTACTAGTGGTTTTTCCAACATGTGGCTTAATTGCTAAAATTTGTTAAAATAACAGTGAATAACAAAAAAGTAACCCTGCTAATTTAATTATAAGCAAATCTTGGTTAAAAGCATTTTAAAACTAACAGGACGTTAATGTTCACATGTGACACACGGATGAGAAACTTTCTCCTTTCAATTGAGGTCCGTAAAATCGAGGGTTTACTGTTCTTGCTTCATGCCGTGGCGTTGGCAAGGGTAGGACCCGGGCTTAGGCCTTTGTGAGGCTAGTGGGGGGGGGGGCACTCATAGCTTTTGGTGTTTTTTTTCTTCTGAGAGACAAGAACCCGAGTGACCAGGGAACCGGCTCTGGGTTCTCGTCCTGCTCCTACACGGACTTCTCCCAGCTCTGAACTCTGAGCAGCTCTACCAGGAGCGACGAGGC